TTACACACAGACGCGTAGAAGGAATTGTAGTGCGCGTGCGCGGAGCGATTGTGCGAGCAGTCGGGACGTAGTAACGTAGAACGCACCTCTTACGGCACCTGCGAAGTCAATTGAGAGGAGTGTCAGGGTGCGTCCACATGTTTTCGCCATCATTTCGTGACCAAGCTGACCCTCTATTCTATGTATTCTCTGCACTGCCTTCGGATGCTACATGTGCGTGGAGCTGAACTTAAGCAACGCTCTGCTAAAAGTGCATGCCTTAGTCTTGGCGTAATCCTATCATGGAAGCAGCTAAAGAAGGGGGCCCCAACCCCTCGAAATTTATTAATTTTTCTAGCGTACATACAAACGCACACACGAACATACATAAAATACAAGACCTCCCCCCCCCCCCGAAAAAGCTTTCTGGCTACGCTCCTGAATCTCACCTCGAAAATTTTTAGTGCAATACAGAAGAAAATGGCCGTGTGAACTCGCGCGCACGGTATACGATAAGCTGTAACATACATAATTCTTTTTCTTAACTGTCCTGTCAATCGCCGATTTATTAAAGCGGTGGTTATTTCCTTTACGGTGTCATCCTCCACTCATAGGGATAAATCACGCCAACAGCTGCGTCCATGGCGCTTTCTTGAAGGCTGAGTCACCTGAAGTTTTATCTCCACGGCACTCGGAGTACGCGTTATGAAAATACACCCGAGAAAGTGAATACATATTGAGATCTGCAAGGTTACATGCATGCTTCTACCGTCACTCTATTGAGTGTAGCAATATTCTGCGTGGTGGGTAAAGTGGATATATATACACATATCAGACGTGGCGCTCGACAATCGCGGAATCTGCCGATAAAATGTACACCCTTTTCGTAATACCTCATGGAGTATTGCGGCCAAACATTTTTGCTCGAAAAAAATGTGCAAGACCATGGCGCCCCATCAAAGTTCGCTTGCTTTTTCCAAAATGTGCGCAATAGAAAAATTTATGTAAAATCGATATTTGTTTGTGGAACTTAGAAACAGCGCTTGAGCTAATAAAGAAGTTTTGTTTAGGTGTGCTACTAAAGCATTAAATTTTTGCGTTTACTTAGCAGTTAGGTCTTTTCAAAAAGCCCAAAAATATTCAAAGTTCGCCATTTTTTCTTATACAAGCTGCAACTCTATCTGAGCAATTTTAATGTTATTGTGGTTTTCCGGAAAGCTTACTTTCGTACAAAAAATATTTAGGGGCGTAATATACTTTAACTCGTTCGAAAACAATTTAAATGGCAGAACTATGCGATTCGTCCCATATTTGACCGTATTTTTCATATTGATGCGGTCTAAATAAAAACTCTGACGATGTGGCGTTTGGTATACCACTCCATGGTTAAGTAATGAAGAACATCTAATCAAATTATTTTTTGTTTTAAGAAAAAATTACGGCATATTCACGGGGTGAATGATGATGAATGGGCGAAGCTCCGGAGGGATTCATCGGTAAACTGTGAATCTTCCGTGTAATTCGCCCAGTCGATCATCATGTAAAGACGCGAGAAACGCTGTGTGTGTATATACACAAATCAACTTTTATTTGTTCTTAGACGATGGATGGCTTGCGATGTCCCTTGCCTCGCGCGCTCGCACATCGGGATTCTGTCTGCGAGCGCGCGCTGCTGCCGCCTTGCGCTCTCTCCGCTGTGCAGCCTTATCCATCCGGCGACTCCGAGCGCGCGCCAACAGCGAACGGATTTTATTACAACGCTCCCCCTAGCGTACGTCGCCGCACTAAATCAAACGATTGCCTTCAACCAATGACACGCGCCATATGTGACATCATTCCTATTTTATAAGATCTCGCGTCTTTCATCAACTACAAGTACCGCTTTCTAGTTTATAACATCTTGCATCTTTTCATCATCAGCTACAAGTACCACCATCTAGTAAACACTACAAGAACTAAACGAGAGGTGGCTACATGGATGGATGGATGGATGTGGCTGTACCCTTTAGATCGGGCGGCGGCTAACGCCACCTAGCCGTAATACTTAGTGAACTAACCATTACATTTATCTTTTTTTCCTTTAAATAATGAAGTTGAGGATTCGTACTTCGCAGTGAAGGGTTTAATTTTCACTTGTGCCTTGACTTTAGCCACCAATCAGATAACCTCCTTCTAGTTAAGTCTACCCGCTTAAAGTCTATTTTGCCCTCGCTGTCCCTAAATCCCAGTGCTTTGAAAAACTCTGCGCCATCATCCTGAACTATAGGGTGAAGCCCTTTACAGAACATTATCAAGTGTTCGGCAGTTTCTTCTTCCTCTCCACACGCACTGCATATTGTGTCGACCCCTTCGTATTTGGCCCGATATGTCTTGGTTCGCAGTACTCCCGTCCTGGCCTCAAACAGTAGAGAACTACCCCGAGTATTATCATAGATCCTTTCCTTGGCAATTTCCTGCTTAAAAGATCGATAGATCTCTAGTGCGGACTGCTTAATCATGCCCATTCTCCACATGTCAGTCTCCGTTTCCTTCACTTTTTTCTTAACCGATAGTTCTTTTTGGTTTGGCCATCTGCTGTTTTCTAAGTATTTACCAGTCAACTTCCTCGTTCGCTTCCTCCATTTTGTATCGACATTCTTCATGTACAAGTAGCTGAAAACCTTCCTAGCCCAACGCTCTTCCCCCATTTCTCTCAATCGCTTCTCAAATTTTATCTTGCTGCTAGCCTCCCTGCCCTCAAATGATGTCCATCCCATATCACCTTGTACTCCCTGATTTGGTGTATTCCCGTGAGCTCCTAAAGCAAGCCTACCTATTCCACGTTGCTTAATTTCTAATCTTGCTTGAACTTCTGATCTCATGCACAAGACCGCATTGCTGAACGTCAGCCCAGGAACCATGACCCCTTTCCATATTCCTCTCACAACATCATACCTATTGTAATTCCACAGTGCCCTATTTTTCATGACTGCTGCATTCCTGTTACCTTTAGTCGTCACGTATATTTCGTGTTCCCTCAGATACTCGGTCCCATTGCTTATCCATACGCCCAAATATTTGTATTTATCTGTCATCTCTAGCGTGACCTCCTGTATTCTAAGCTCACTACCTTCGTTGTCATTGAAAATCATGACTGCTGATTTTTCCCTACTGAATCTAAAATCTAACCTATCTCCCTCATTACCGCAGATGTCCATCAATCTCTGCAAATCTTCCTTGTTGTTGGCCATTAGCACTATATCATCTGCGTACATTAATGCCGGTAGTGCCTGATCAATAAGTTTTCCTTGTTTGACTAAAGAGAGGTTGAAGCCAAGTCCACTTCCCTCTAATTTTGCCTCTAATCCTTGTAGGTACATCATGAATAATAAGGGTGACAGGGGGCACCCCTGCCTAAGCCCCCGTTTTACCTCTGCAGGCTTGGATACCTGTTTTTCCCACTTTATAACTACCTTGTTACCTTTATAGACACCCTTTAAAAGATTAGTGACTACATGTTCCACGCCTAGTGTGTCCAGTATTCCCCACAATTCCTCTTGAACCACGCTATCGTACGCTCCCTTAATATCCAAAAATGCTAGCCACAGTGGCCTGTGTTCTTTTTCTGCTATTTCGATGCACTGCGTCAGTGAGAACAGATTGTCTTCCAACCTCCTGTGTTTCCGAAACCCATTCTGCAGTTCCCCCAGCACCCCCTCATCCTCTATCCACGCCTGCAGTCTTTCCTTTATAATCTGCATCGCCAGCCTGTAGACCACTGATGTCACTGTTATAGGACGGTACCGGAGACGGTACCGGAGACATACAGGAGACGGTACCGCCATCTAGTGAACACTGCAAGAACTAAACTAGAGGTGGCTACATACAGCGGACGGTACCGCCATCTAGTGAACACTGCAAGAACTAAACTAGAGGTGGCTACATACAGGCTACAGGGGACGCACAGCCCACGCCCTAAGGAGCTTCGCCCCTAAAAAAATGAAGTTGGCCTTCAAAACGCTTGCTGCGTTCCTTTGTTTCCACTTCACCGCAAAGCACCTGATCACCCCTTCAGCTAACACTCATTACAAGCAACGACAAGGTGCGAAATGTATGTAGGCTGCTTGTGAGTGGTCGAAAGTCTTGTTGCTTTGACGTCAAGGCCACGAGTATTAAGTTCGCTTTACGATGTGAGCTTGCTTGGCGTGCCCATTGGTAAGTATACGGAAGCTGTGCAAAAGCACATTGTGCTTTCCCTTACGTATGGTCTGTACCCATTAAATTTTTCACAAAAGTGTTGGTGACGTATACGATTTGCAGCGACAGATTACTCTCTAGCTTTCTAGGTAGTAATTTATAAAACCATAGAGATTTATTAATGAATCTCTATGTATGGAACAACGGAGGAAGGAATTGATTGATATGTTGGGTTTAACCTCCCAAAACCACTATATGAATATGAGAGACGCCGTAGTGGAGGGCTCCGGAAATTTAGACCACCTGGGGTTCTTTAACATGCACCCAAATCTGAGCACACGGGCCAACAACAATTCCGCCTCCATCGGAAATGCAGCCGCCGCAGCCGGGATTCGAACCCGCGCTCTGCGGGTCAGGAGGAAGGAATCACTGTGACTTTCCTTCATCCATGAATAAGGTTTTATAATGTTTAATAAAGCTTCTTGTCATAAGAAACTAATGGTCATAGCAGTAGAGTATCACATTGCATAGAGTTTGATAATTGTACAATTCTCTATGTCTGTTGAGAACACTGTGATGATGTTTGTGCTCTGCGCTTCCTTGCTGTGGAACATTATCTCGGAGGCTATGCGTAGGGTCGCGTTTACAACTTGGATTGTTCATGGTGCTTTAGCATGTTACCATACTTTTCCTCTTTAAAATTTTAACTGCATACGTCACTAAAAATTATATTAGTGTCAGCTTGCAGTTGGACGCAACGTACTGTTGTCAGCGTTTTTTTCTTTGTAGTTATGTCATTTAGTTTAAAATAGTAGTCAAGTCTGGCCACCTGGCACAAGCCGACAGAAACCGAAACTAGCTGTCCGTAGGTATGGCGACGCCCATTTTGCGTAGTAATGCCGTGATTTTCATGAGTAAAACCATAGCACGACAGCCCTCACGATGCATGTCTCACAAGCGAATAGTCGAGAAAACGCTTCGTTACGGCGTTCCCGTAAGCATAGTCGCGTCTGCATCGATGGCCACTTACCTGCTTGTAAGCAAACGGCCCCTGACTGTGCTGGCCAAAAGACCCACCAAGGAAATGAGGGATGCAGCGATTCGGGTGAGCAGTCGCGTCAATCGTTCCGATTCTCAGTAGCGAATTAACTAATCACCTTTGATATCACAGGAGGATCGCGAGGAAGCCGAGCACACGATGCACTTGACTCAGCGCGAACGACGATTCATTCGGTTTGCTTCGGTTGAGTACGAAGGCCAACTTTACATGACACCCGAAGACTTTCTCGAATCGCTGACGGAATCGGAACCCAGACGTGAGTTGAAGCATCAGTCTTGTCAGGTTCAGTACGTTACGACTCTGCTAGATGAGCTTGAATACTCGGATCAGTCTGACTGATGACGTTTCAGTACTTACATAAACTTGCTCTCGTTTCGCTTTGCCAGCCCGATTGCACAGGCATCACCTGTCTAAGAAAGAGCTCGATCACATGCTCGAACAAACACCAGCGAGAAAATACGGATCCACGAAACTTTTCAGAGATCTCAGGGAGCGTGGTAAGTTTCGGCCATTTTTCGGGACATATGCGTGCGTATCTACTTCAACTTTTATTCGCTGCAAGCTATTTGACCTTAACCTTATATTTATATTTATATTTTACAGGAATCATATCATACACTGAATACCTGTTCCTTCTCTCTGTATTGACAAGTAGGTGTTGGAGAAGGTGCGACACGCGATTACATACCTCCATAATTGCCCTGTTATATTATTTTCAGAACCACAGTCAGGATTTAGAATCGCGTTCAACATGTTCGACACTGATGGCAACCAAAGAGTTGACAAGCAAGAATTTCTTGTGGTGAGTGATGATTGTAGGGGGCATTATTGTTGATGTGTATGCAGCATATCTGTATTGATTATTAAGGCCCTCTCATAATATCCAGCGCATAACATATCATTTCTATTTATTTTATTTATTAATCTTATATATATTTTTTTGCCAAAAGTGGTTGGAGCAAGTCAGACACAATAGTTTGTATAGTTGTGGCACTAATGTTACACCTTTTAAGTATGAAGTTTTCTTTATGGTTAATCATTTTTCGATTCTAGCTCTTAATTCAATGTTCAATATATAAGAATGGTTTGCCCATGTTTGATTTATGGCTAAACCAAAATATTTAATGATGCTACAGTAACATATATCTATGCATTCTCTTTATATCTTCAATACATTATGCTTATGCTATGAGGCCTTGATGTTCACATACAATAAGGAGGTATGCAATGAACATATTGAACAAATTGAATAATTGAAAACTTGTAATCACTAAAGTAATGGATAATATATAAATAATCCAGTGATATGCTTTACTTCTTGTAGTCAGCACATAGTGGCTTGTCTTCAGGTCATACATTATGCTCCAAGAACACTGTCTATCAGTTTATTGGTTACTTGTGATCTTGATTATCAGTTGTTTTCATATAATACTCATCTTATTGTAATTAGATATAGCTGAGTAAAGCCGGCTTGCTAGTGCTTTCCCTGTATTCATGGTAACACATCAGCTTCCTAGTCTCTATATCATCAAGCAAGGTTTAGGATTTTCCAGGACTTAATGTAAGCCACAGCATTTCACACTGTCACCATATCATTGACCTTCAGTGCCTGCTTATAGGTCTAGTGTATTATTTTGTAGTGAGAGTGTGCATTTACTGTAGCAACTCAATCATACTTAATGAAAGTGCATTGACCTAAATCAGGGGTGATAATTGAGTTTCATGCAAGTAATCATGATACTGATGTGCAGTATAAATTCCAGGTTATCAAAAACAGATTTTTAGTGACTTTACATGTATTGGCTTTAATTTGTGCTCTATGCATTTTCACAATTACTATAACTGTTGACAATATACATGTCTACATGCCTTATTTGTCACAATGAAAAAGCATGTGAGCATGAAGTAATCATCTTTCTTTTATGACAGCCTCGCACATACCCGAAATGTCTTCCTTTGTTCTTTATTTTAGCCTCTACCTAAATCAACTTATTTTTACCCTTTATGATGATTTTCTTTTGCACATATGCATGTATGCAATATCAGGTCCTGCAAATCCTTGTAGCAGCACTTTTTTTCAAAAAGTCTGGAAAGCTTGGACTTTTTACAGATGTTCCTCCGGATGTTGTAAGTTTATTTTGTTGTGTTTGGGTGCATTGTTTTTCTATGGCTGGCAGAAAATGATTGCATGGAATTTAGCTTGCTGGATTGACATGTAATGTGGCTGTTGTTCTGTGTGTATGTTTTTTTTTTTTTTTCATCATGAACAACTCAGCTGTGTGCTTAGACGAAGCAAACATTTTCACTTTAGGCAAAGTGGGAACGGCTGAGTGTGTGTATGAACTTCGTGGTCATTGGTGTCAGTTGTGCTAGTAAAAGATGGCAAAAAATTATGATGCATTACAAGTATACACTGTGAATTGAAAGCCACACAGCTCTTAGCTGCTGAATAATCAACTTAATTTTACTCATTTTATATTTGTCCAGTTGGAACAGTAAATGCTGTATACCTTTCATGTGAATGAAAATAGGTTCAGAGACAGAGAGAGAGAGAAGTAAACGTTTATTTTGAAACAATCTTAACAAACCTTGCTGAAACATTTTCGAATGTCAGTCTGCCCTCAAGATAATCAAGAGCTGATGGATTTGACATTTAAAGATTGAAAGTGATCCGCATTAACATATTTGTATGTGATCTATCGTCAAGCTTATATTTTGTAAACAAAAGTTAAGTATGTCTTTTTCTTTTTTAGCTTTATGATGTAGCCTCACAGATTGGCTTTACTGCAAGTAAATGTAATTGAGGTATCTGTTATGATAGCACGAGAAACAAGTCCGAAGGCACTCTAGATTCTGCTATCATTCAGACCGCTTCCTGCACCATAGTTTTTTGCCAGACTATTGTGAGCATGCATGCATACCCTGCTTGCAAGTGCTAGAAGTATGGCAAGATCTGCATTCTGTAAATGTTTAAAATAGCCTAAAATTATCTAACACATGCTTTGGTTCCCGAGTGTGAGCAGCTGAATAGGTGTGCTCTCTTATTGCGCTGCTGGCACTTACCACACCAATTTAGCGACTATGCATGAGGCTGAGGTTTCAAATGTGGACCGTATATTGTGCATATTGAAGGGGGCTCGAATGCCAGAACACACACATACATTGCTTTGGTTTCATCAGGCAGGGCCCCTCATAAGGTCTCACTGAATAACTTTGCTATTTGCTGAAAATTAGAAAAAAAAACTCACATACAATTTTTTTGATAATGTCTCAGATTGGTTATTATTATATTTACTATAGCATTATAATTAATAATATGTATTAGTTTAATTATGTAAAACAAATGGGAACAAGACATTTGCCACCAGTAGTGGTTGCAGGCATAGATGCTACATCATTCTTCCATAACTATCGATTTGCAAGCTACTTTTCCTCCCTGTCTTTTCTAACACTGAACTGAGTGATTTGGTCATGTTTGTAATGCAATCCCTCTCTTCTTTTTCCTTCTTCTCTCCCGCTTTCTACACTGAAGCACAATCCTATGGTAGTATTGCATCCTATGCATCGGCCAGCTTATTGAAGTAATGTGCAATAACCAATGATACATTGCATCTTAAGCTGAGTGAAAGCCATCTTCTCTTACTTTTTCAGAAAAAAGTCACATACACACTTCATGTTACAATTTTTGGCCATTCTCACGATGAGCAGCCACGCGATATTTTGCAGCCGTAATTTCCACCGAGTGATCCATATAATTGCCTGCAATGCAGAAACCTTATGAGAGGCCTGCTGAAGTATCAAAGGTCTAACTTCGACACCTCACTGAGCCCACAAACTGTATGTTCCTTCTGTCTACTAAACACCACTTGTTGATCAGTTGAATCGACCAATCAGTCAGTCACATGAAGTCATCTGCAACTGTAGATATTTGGTCTCTGGATTACAAACTTCAAAGGAGGTGTGGCAGTTTGGGCTGTTTGTATGACATGATGATAGTTATAGCGCGAGAACAGAACGATGACGAAGAGTCTGTGTCCTTTCTGTCTCTTTCTCTTCGGTCTGTTCTCACGCTATAACTATGGTCATTTTAAAAGAAGGCTGTGTATCAATTTTTTTATTGAAAAGCATTCAGCTAAGTTAGTGGGTGTAATGCATTCTTAGCCCCCTTCTCATGCTAATACTAGCTCTGCAAGTACTCTTTCATGTCTGAGTATTGTGAACTGAGACAAATGTGTTACCTGTCATCTAGTGTGGCCTGCTTCGTGCAGTGAACTCACTTCTTTGGGCACCTGCACTTGCGTGCTTTGTACCTGCACTGGCACTCTCAACGGTGTGCTTATTACCGCAGGTGCCCACCGTTGTTTTGCACTGGTCACGTGCAGTGACCAGTGCAGTGACCGAGTGGGGGTGTGGACTCCGTGTTTACCTCTGTAAAGCTATGCTCCTCACTTTTCTGCCCCTCTGTCACCTTCTTCCCTCTTTCACTCAGCTTGAAAAGATATTTAGCACTGTTGCACGCCGGGGAAAGAGGCTCACAGGAAATGCAGATGTGCCTGAGCTGGTAAGCATGTCTCTAAGGTTGGGGCAAGTGACTATGCATAAACTTGTCATATAAACAGTTCATTTTGAATTCTCAGCAAGGACTACTATTACATTTTTTTTTTTCCGCATGAAGTGAGCTTAAAGATTCAGTGCTTTATGTGACTGCTTAGGCATTCAAATATAAATTTGATTAATGCTCAGTTCAGCCATATTTACAATAGTAATTCTCACTTTGTGGTAGTATCATGCAACATTATAGATATGAAGGGTTGCACTTATTTTAATGACTATATAACTTGTTACAACTTGTTACTATATAAACTATCACTAAATATTACTTTTTATGAGCCTAGCTAACATGCACTGCTTTGCTGCATAAGGCTAAGTAATCTTTATGAATTAATAACTGATCAGAAATGTTTTTTACACTATGAAGGAAGAAAAATATAAGGTTCCATAATTTTTTTCAGTATCAATGCGCTCATGCTAAAACTGAAGTGTTCAGCTCCATTGTTCCTGTGAACTTACAACGGTTCTGTCCTGAATTTCAAAATAAGTTCTAAAGTCATAAAAAAATATAACTTTCTTGTGACAGCTGTTCTGAAAAAATTTTGCGTCTAAGCGCAGTGTTAAAAATTTTTATTGTGTATGGCGTTTCTGGTTTGCATTCACCAGCAGAATTATTAGTGCTGCATTTGCCAGTGGGGGGCACATAGCTGCAGAGCCAACTTCGCGGACGTTTTCAAGTTGGTGATTAGCTGCAACGTGATTTTGATCATGAGTTTGGATCTTTCTTTGCATGAAGTTGCTTACAAAGCAGTCTTGTTGCCATATTAGAGGATCTCTGCAATTCTTTTTTGAAAATTGTCCATTGCGTTCTATACTCAGAGCCACCTTCTAGCAAATTTTTCTGACAAGTCAGTATTAGCACAGTACATAATTAGAAATGAAATGTTTTTGCAGTCACACCTTAGGAGCTTCTATTTATTTATATTTATGGTGCTTAAAGGTGTGCCAAGCCTATGCAGGATGATGTCTATTGTGTTGTGCAGACCATCAGATAGATCTTTTATATTGACATAATGCTGAGATCACGTGTGAAAAACCTCTGCTGTTGAATATATTTTAGAGGCCTAGTACATCAATGAGATCACTTTTTGCCATCAAATGACACTAATATCCCAGTGATATGATTTCTATACTTTTGCTTTCACTGGGAACACTGCTTCGTTTTGGTTTTTCAAGTAATTTATCCATTAGATTGTGCATGTATTCCTGCATAAGAGTATAAAGAGAGCAAACCACGTTAAAAACTTAAAAGGCAAATAGCTTTTCATCTAGAACTGTGAGCTTTAAGGTGCACATGTCGGAATTGGATAATCATGACATACCTTCTGGCAACTGTGGAAGTTTCTTTTGCAGAAGAAGAGAAAAAAAAATGCAAAGCAAGGTTCTTTTTATTGTTTTTCTCCTACTGGGATACTCATCTGTTCTTTTTTTACATAAGATATCCCTTAATGTGTGTTTCTGACTTCAGTATTGGTGTACCTGAGTCAGAATGGGCTCTATGTCTTTGACAAGGTGTGCTTTTGTGGGCAGCTGCAAAGTTCGTGCAGACTTGTTGCTGCTCTTCTGTTTATGTTGGCGGTGTTGTGTTGTGCTGCTGCATGTGTGCGCGTCTGTTGCAGCAAGTGTTCTGGGCTACTGTGCATCCCTTCGAGCATTGTTGCTGAGCTGTCATCTCACACTTCTACCTCTCAAACTTCATGAGATTGTCCATACTGCTTTCACACTATAGTTATTTTTGATGCATTGTATCAAAAATAATGCAAACTTTTACCCTGTTCTTCAATTTCTCGCTTCATAATGCTGTGTGTTTGACCACTACATAACTAAGCTGTATAGTTAAGTGGATCTCTCAGACAGAGAAAATGAATGTTTGTCAATAACCAAAGTGGAACACAGGGAAATAGGAGGGACATTGTTAAAGGGCCCGTAAACCACCCAGAGGCGGAAATGTAGATGTGGCATTGCAGTTGTCTACGAGTATGCAGTGAACGCTAGTGGAATTCCACGCGTTTCCTCATTTCGCTCTTTATTTTGCTAGGCTGCGTTCGTAGGTTCGTTTGAACACGTCTTCTAGTGCCTTTTCTCAGCGTCTGAGCTAGAAAACGACAGGCGCGTGCATGTGCTAGCAGAACACAGGCTTTCTTTTGCCCAATGACATCGTCTCTGGTACGCAGCGTCATTTGTAATGTAGGCAGCGTCAGTTGACTTCATGCCAGCTGTTCTCGATGGAGGAGAGGCATGGAGAGCAGCACGTGAGTGTCTGTTGGTGGTTCATGTGCCCTTTAACATGAAGTTAGGTACAATGTAACAAAACAGAATGAATACTGAATCCTCAAAATTTAATTGGCTAACAATGATAATATGGAATTGATGAAAGGAAACTTTTTATTTTAAGCAATCGTTCTCATTTTTTCTCTTTTCTTGCTGCATTTTTTGCTTTTGAAGCATGAGAAAAAGTATAGCATTCATTTCAGTGTTTAAAGATCCAGTTTTATTATACACATACTAAATTTGATTTGACAGTTTCACAATTCAAACCCCCCTCACAGAAATGTTCCATTGGCCAAGTTCCAATCATTGTCTTTCTTACAGGCCTCTTGCTATGCTTTGCTAGCCAGAAATGTGAAGGACAGCTTGATATATGTGTGCTGTGTGTGGAATTAACATGTGTGTTGTGTGTCCCACCTTTGCCCTTCACCAGAGATTGTACACACTTCCATCAAGGCTTCCCGTAAGGCCTCATCCAGTGGCAATCAGTGTTCGTAGCTCTGCATGCAAATGGTGGCCTTTATATGCCACCTTCAAAGCTTCAATACATATTTCTTTTTAGTTGTGCTCTCCTTGCTAGAGGCTTTTAGCATAAATTCCAGCTTAGGCAGTTGTGCACTTCTTTGTGTGTTCCCTGCTTGTGCCTGTTAATTTAACTCGCTGAAAGAATCATCTATGCTCATTTCTGCATTTTCGAAATTATGAAGAAAACTTTGTGACTTGCAGCGATGAGAACTTAATTTTTATATGTTTTTTACCTTCACAAATGCAAACTGCCGTACCTGACTTTAGAAAAAAAAATCATGTAGGGATGTGCAACGCACAACGTTGTTTGCAGTGTTCTTGAATAAAACCTGCTGCTCTGACAGGCTTGTAGTTTGATTCCTGGCTGGGGCAGTGCAGTTGTTACGATACTGACCCAAAAGGCATGGGTTCGATCTCACTCACAGCAGTGGCATTTTGATGGAGGCAAAATTAGAGAGGCCTGTGCACTTAGGAGTAGGGGCACGTTAAAGGACCCCAGGTGGGCGAAATTTTCAAAGCCTTCCACAGTGGCGTGCTTCACTTTTGCAGCCAGGGTTGGGGATGGAGGAATTATCCCCCCTCCTCCCATAGAAAATTTTCAGCTTTGCATATGTATAATATGCATGTACACACATAAACACACCGATGTACTCAAAGAATGGTTGAACCCTTCCCCCGCCTCAAAAAAAAAGTTCTGGCTATGCCCCTGGCAATCCTCATAATCATATTGGGGTTTTTACACACAAAGTCTCTTGAGTAATTATCCCTATTACATGATGTACAGCAAGTAACATCACATACATGCGTATAATCACATTAAGTGTCAGTGGTTCTTCAATTAAGTGATGGTGCATTGGTGCAGCTCGATCAGTCTGCATTGGTTGCCCAGCTAGTTGCTAATCTTCAATTGGAAACACATTACCATTTGTGCTAGCCAGGATTTATGTGAAAGTCTCAAGCAAGGAAGCATCTGACAGTCTTTCCTGTCAGGCTGCCTTCGTCTGCTTGTGCAAAATATGCATCTCATTGGCCTGATTGTATGCTGCTGCATTATTAAGCTTGCTTCTGTCAATTGCTGGCTTATCTGCTACATTGCATCTTGTATTGAAAGTATTTAAATAGGTACTTATTTGAATTTTCAGCACTTGGGGTTTTAACCATGCCTGTTCTCTTTTATTCTACCTAAACATCAGCAATTTTGAGCCTAGTTATAAGGGCACATGTAACTGTAAATGTATTTTAATAAAAAAAATGAATCACTGTTGTATATTGATTAATTTTATAATCAACTGCACATAAGTTTCAAAACTAAAAAAAATTATTTGTTCTTTTATGCTCATTTAGCCATAGCATGAAGTACTTATACTGAGAAACTAGTTATATAAATGCATACTAAGTTACTAATTTATACCAGGCCCATTACTACTCTGAGATTATGATTATTGGTTGCCTTGCTGGAGCTTTCCTCTTGTGAGGACAGCCAACACTAGTTTAGTTAGTAATTGCATTGCTTGCAAATTCCTCTGTCTTTTATGGCTGTTTTATTTGCGAGTATTTGGCTTGCAACAGAGCGCTATCTGTATTTCTGCCATGTCATGCAATGTAGTGCCCTGTAGTAAGTTTTGCTGAGACTTTTGTGATGCTTCATTTAATTCCTTGTGATGCTGCACTGTAGTCTAACACTGTGTTTCTTGCGTGCTTTACTTACATGCGAACTGTGCATAGTTTTGTCAAAATTTACTAACACCAATGCATTCGATTAGTCTGTGTGAAAGATGTGTAAATGAACTCTGTAACTCCACGCTTGCGAATTTTAACCTTTCAGAGCAGCTTAAATATTTAACCTCTGGGTAACATTCAAACTTTATATTTTGTAAATGTACACTTGGTCTTTGTAGTAGGCTATAGGTCTGACCTGTTGAGCCTGGTACCTAGACATTTCAGTGAGTGACACTTCTTATTTTCTAGCTAACAAGACCAATGCCTCTTGTTCTCTAAATACTCTTAGTTCTTCAATTTGAAACACATATGAAATATGGGTGTGTTTATCAGCATAAAAGATATAACTTTGGAGAAAGCATGTGGGAAGATCACATTTAAATGTTAGGCACAGCATTAGTAAACCATTCAAAACCTCTTAGATCGAACCCAAGAAACTTCAAGAAGTAAACAAAGGAACTTATTGGCTGCTTCACATTACATGTGTGACAAAGTTTAAATTTTCTTAGGAGGACGGTGAAAGCAAGAATTACGACATTGTAGACACAACATTGCTTGTGCACTTGTTTGGAAAGAAAGGCTCAGACACGCTTAAATATGATGACTTTCACAGGTGAGTGCCAGTGGTGGCAAGACTTGTGTATGATCTCCTCAAATTGAGCTTATTTGTGTAATACTGAACCATTCTGATCAAAGGAATTATCTTGGTGCCAATACGTATGTGTGGTCTGTCCGAGATATTCGTGTACAACTTCGTGCTAATGCTGTTCATTAAGTTAGCATTCTTACACTCGATCCGTCTTACTTTTAGTTGCTTGTGATTTTTTATACGTGTTACACCTAGGGAAAAAAAAGTGTTCTGAATAATATTGATTGTACTTAAACAGTGGTGTTGGTGACATACTACCATTCAAACTCCTATATTTTTAAATTATATAAAAAAAGTTGCAGACATTGTTAGAGATATAGCTTAATTGATATTCAAGAATTTTCGCAGAGTGGAGAAAATAGTAAAGATTAACTTATTTACACAACTGTTTGAAAATCTGACGCATTGGTTTATTTTGATGGTTCTGTTTGAGTAACGAGTGCAGGCGTATAAATGAAACATGTCGCTTTCTTTTTCTAAAACTAAGTCCTTCATTTTGTACTGATTGGTCTGCAGAAAAAGATGCACAATTTGTTGGTAAATTATTGGGACATGTACAGTGGCACTAAATATGAGTTTCAACCCAAGTTTGAGTTTCAACATGTTTCAACATGTTCAACATGTTTCAACAGTTTCAACATGTTCAACATGTGAGTTTCAATATGTTTATTAGCAAAAGCTAACCTCCCAACACCTACACAAAGAAATACAGTATTGAGATTGAAATTTTTCTTTGAGTTAGTTAAAGGTTATTTTAAGTTAGACTTATCACATATACTTCATTTGTCCACAGGATATACCACAAGGCAGAGGCATGCCTTTACAATAACCCCATTTTCCACCTGTAATAACACATTCAAGTATTCGTTCTTCCCTAGGACAATTACCGAATGGAATAACCTTAGTAACGAAGTTGTTTCCCAGTCATCCTTGAACCTTTTTGCTGCGCAGCTCAAACAGCGAGTGTCTAATTTCTATGATCTATGACATGTGCTCCTGTTGTTTATTTCAATCACTGTAACCATTCTCCACTTGTGATCATCTTGAATTTAGTGCTCATTTCTCTATATGTTCTTATGCCGGTTTATTACAAACCACTGTTCTTTTTTTTCCTTTCGTTCTGAAAGTGTGTAAATGCCTTACCTGTTTTATATTTATTTGTTTGCCGATTTGTAAACTTATCCAATGTATATCCACCCTGCCAAAACCCTATGTTAGGGTTGCAGTATTCATAAATAAATAAATAAATAAATAACCCGGTGGCCATGGTTGAAGGGGCCCCAAGTTCGCACTGTAACATTGGTAAACGTGAAATTGCTTTTGAAAATACCAGTAGTTGAAACAATGTTTACATGACTGATTGTTTTCTATCCGCACGGTCTAAGCAGTGCCAAAACCGTGCTGTCTCGGCACTGCTTAGACCGTGGGCAGCATTTTGCAACTCATATTCCTTGCGGCTGTACATATACCTGTCCTTCATTGAAACATGTTTACTAACACATCCTCTGTGCTCAGGTTTATGGACAACCTTCAAACTGAAGTGCTGGAGCTTGAGTTCACAGAATTCTCGCGAGGGATGCCCTCCATCTCAGAGGTGGACTTTGCACGCATCCTGCTTCGCTACACATACATCCACAGTGCCAACTATGAGGCCTACATTGACAGGGTTAAAGACCGTATACCCGAGGAGAAGGTTAGTTTGCTTCGGAGCATAGCTCCTTTAGTTCCTGCATTCATATGCTTGTGGAAGGCCACTAGAGAAAACTTTTGTGCAGAAATGTTTGGGTAGCATGGTAAAGCTGAGTTGTGTACATATTAACTTGTGTAATCGCTGAAGTTGTGGAATTCAGATGTTTTTGTTGCAAAATTTATTGTGATAATCATATTGTTTCTCTGAGTTTACAAGCACTTATTCATTTCTAAAAAAACAATAAATATCCATATGCATGCGTAGTCTTTGTGAATAGTTCTATTTATAACACACTATTTTGCTCAAAAGGATCGATTTTTCATGCTCATGAAACTGTCTGAAGCTAGAAAGACAAAAAACTAGGACATATATGCCACATTATGAATTCCCCTTCTGACTTCAGCTTCATACTTGCTGCTCCATTGGACTGTAACACCAGAGTTTCCTCTACTGGTTTGTAGGTGAAGTTCCAGTGCTTTGTTGACTGAGAAATCTACAACATGCAGTTGAAGAGGTTTATCAGCAATCCATTTTTTCCTTGATTTTATATTAAATGTATGCTTATGTTACAATTCCCAAGTGTAAGTTAGTTGGGATCTACTCAAAGAATGGTGACATCAGCAAGTATTAATAGATATATGAAATCGAGGCTAACTGCCGGCTGGCAGTATTAGCAATAGCAGTTACTATGCATGACAGTACATGCATGTAGTAGTAAGAAAGCAATGTTATCTTTCTCGTGTATTGCTTCTGGAGGGAATTTCTTGAATAAGCCAGCAAAGAGATTAAGCCCATCATTTGATAAAGGCATTTTTTGATATGCTACGTCATATTAGAGGGATAATATAACTGAAACTTTATACTGGAGGTATAAGATAGCTGGAACTGATTTATTAGAAATATAGCTGCTGAATGCAAAAAAACATTAAAATGCATTTTTTGCTTGCATAGAAGTAAAAAATGAACATCCTTCAAATTTCAATTCTGTTCTGCGTACAAAGCTTGACGACTAAGCGACCCAATAGTACATTGTGCCCCGCCGCGGTGGTCTAGTGGCTAAGGTACTCGGCTGCTGACCCGCAGGTCGCGGGATCAAATCCCGGCTGCGGCGGCTGCATTTCCAATGGAGGCAAAAATGTTGTGGGCCTGTGTGCTCAGATTTGAGTGCACGTTAAAAAACCCCAGGTTGTCGAAATTTCCGGAGCCCTCCACTACACCGTCTCTCATAATCATATAGTGGTTTTGGGGCGTTAAACCCCACAAATCAATCAGTCAATCCAAAGTACATTGTGTGCAGTTATTCTTTCTGTATAAAAGATCAATTTCACTTGCTGCTACTTTTTTCTAATGTTCCTAACATGTTTTCGAGTTATTTAATGCACTAGTTAAAAATTTTGATAAGATTAGACTTACCTCGTGAATTGCATTTTATTTTTTTTTTTCCATCTTGTTCCGTCTCTGTGTTCTTTTCAGGGCATCACCTTTGATCAATTCAAAGCCTTTTGCCAGTTCTTGAACAACTTGGATGACTTTTCTATTGCCATGAGAATGTTTACATATGCAAACAAGCCAATATCACAAGGTACTTGGTATTCTGCAACCTAAGTATTTCTTCATTTTCTCTTTACACTGAAGAAGATTGTGTTTTGAAAACGGGATATTTTTAATTACAAACAGGGACTAAAGATCATATGCATGCAGTTTTCTTAAAGCCTTGGACTAAAGAGGAAACAACCATAGTGCTGAAGAAACTAGCCATATGCCATTAGCAACTCTTTTAAAACTATATCAGTGTTTACTAGTGTATCAGTTTGTAATGTATTGCTAACTTTGTCCTACTCGTGTAAAATTTTGCTGCTGCTTGTGTATGCTTCATATAAAGGTTTTCCTAGGTAAAAATGTGTAACTGGCAATCCAACTATACTTTAATAATATTAACTAGAATCAACTGCTTCTTGTTGGAAACCACCTGGTCCCAGTGGCAGATGAATGTGTCCCAGCTGGCATCCAGCTAGGAAGCAGCTGGGTCTTGCTACAAGCCAACTGCTCACGATCGGGAACTATGACCAGTTAAACTGAAAGCAACAATGTATATTCTCGATGCAAAAATTATGCATTATAATTTAGCTGTGTTGTTAGTGTGTAGCGAGGAAACTAATGATTGATGACTAATTGGTAAGAACACAAGGTTATACTGACTGCTTGTCCTTATGACTGCTGCAGCTGGTCTCACTCCTGTGGAGAGCTCGTTAGGTCCATATCTTTTCAATTTTGTACCATATAAGCTGGGATTTGCTCTGTGTGTCTCTAAAATGAAAGCTTAACTGATAATTTCATTCTACTTTTTTGCGTTAACATATTTGGTTAACTGACTTGCACACACTTATAACAGAAGTATGCCACACAAATAACATGCATGACTAGTAACTCGGTACTAATTCTCTTGAAGGAGCGAAAGAAGTATGATGTACAAAGGGCAGGAAGTGTAACAAGGAGCATCGTGCTTTTTTCTCCCTACAGTACATTCTGGCTTTTGCCATTTTTCAGTGCATCTAGTTCTTTCGCTGTGTTTGTTACAGAGGAATTTCATAGGGCAGTCAAGATCTGCACTGGCCATAGTCTAGATCCACACCTCGTGGACACGGTGTTCCAGATATTCGATGCCGATGGTGATGGATTTCTTTCCTACAAGGAGTTCATTGCCATTATGAGAGACCGCCTACATCGTGGCTTGCGGGTAAGAGCATCAGTTGAACGCACTGTCACCTACCTGCACCGAAGCTCTTAACTACAGAATCAACACTAGTTTTGTAACATTGTAGCAAGAGTGACACTGTAGTGGAGTTTGAATGAAGGTGAAGTATTGTGCCAGTTATTGTTCATGTTTACATGGGAAGCAGCACGCGGAGACAAGGCTCAGAAAGCACGAAATGACAACACAGCTGCTGTGTAAACATCAACTATCACGGACTCGCCCAACTTTCCACTTTACTGAGTTCCAGTTTTTGTTATCTAGTTGGTAATTTTGTCTTTCATTGTACCACTTGCTCTCTGTAATGTATCAAAAACTAAAAGCCAAACATTGCTTGAGAACCTTCTTATGCTTATATTATTAGCGCATGCAATTACACTCACTACTTCCTGCTTTGATCTTCCCACAGTAGTATTATGATCTAATGTTTGTAACGTGAACATGGCCTTACCGTGCATTGTAAACACATCTTCATTGCAGATCTTGCAATACAGTTGTAATATAATAATTCATTGTATTTTTTTGTGCACATTGCGATATAGTGCATTTAACAAGCTGCACGCCTTTGTGAGAATAGCTATAAAAGTCAGCTGTAGTTATGCTGTCAGGCAGGTTCATGCTATGCTCCTTGTTCATATCTTGTGCCATTGGGGTTTTCAGCTATGAACCACATACACAAAGTTAACCTTTTCCAACCTTGTACTATGTACTATGAACAAGCGTATACCTACTAGAATTGACATCATGCCACATGCACATGCCCAATACAATACTGATTGATGGCACTAATGTTTGTGGTTCACATTTAATATGGCTACCTGCAGTTGGGCACTCTGTGTTTAGTGTTGTTCTGTTTTTTTGTACATTCTTGGCACATGTTTTGAAAAAAAAAAAAAAAAACATGAGAGAAAAGCTTTTTCTTTTAAATCTTTACTATCTATCCATTTCAATTTTCAATAGGAAAGCGTTAGTTGTAGTAAATCATAATTGTCATGAGTATTTTGAAGTACTCATGCTTATGACTTTGAAGGGATATTTTGGATTTTGGTTTGCAAAGTAATCATCATCATTTCTTGTCCATTTTAATCGAGTGCTTAAAATTTTTGCTCCTAACTGGCATTTTGTTTGAAGACAGTGCTTTTGCGAAAAATGTGGGCATTGTTCTGTGAATTTCAGCACAAGACATTTAGACTCGTAAGTGCAAAAATGCCACTCATGTGAAATTTAGCTGCAGGTAGCTGCAGCTGACTGTGTGGCATTGTTAAAGTAAAAGATTGTTAATTCGAACTCGAAGGAGAACTATAGAATTGTTCAAGTTAGGCGTTAAATTAGCAGCAGGTGCTAAAATGAATGGGTATTGCCCCACACTATGTGGACAGAACCCAAAGTAGCCACCCCTGGACTCATTATTGCGACTTAAGTGCTACATTGTTTGTCACAGGTGATTTTGCGAATTATGTTTATGGTGCCTAATAGCAGACATAAATTAATTTATCAGTTATACGATACACCAGAAAGAAGCACTGACATGCACTCTTTTGAGCAGTGAGCCGGTAATGTTGAAATAATAACAGTAAACCTGCCTGGCTCTAATTATGCTTTAAAACATGTTTATTTACATGGCAGAAGCAATGCAATCAAAATTAAAAAGTAATCAGTAATTTATATTTGCTTGTGGTTCTGTCACAACACTATGAGCATAGTTGTAGCTTGCCCAAGAGTTTCAGTGCAGTGTCTGAATTCTCTTGTGTTGAGAAATGCTACTGTTTGTTGTTTTGCATGTCTAATAAGTATTCTTTGGTTTTGCAACAAATTGGGATCACTCAGGGCTGACTTCTGCATGCAGCAATGAGAAACTAGGGGCTCCAAGTTTGAATAAACCGTTGTGAATGACATGTTCTAATTATCAAGTTTTTTCCCCATAGAAATACACAGGGCTGTGCCAAGATCAGGGTATCAGTTCAAAGCAGCTGTAAGTTAGAGTTAACCAGGTTCACGTAAACAAGCTTTTATTCTACTGATAAACATGAGGTAATTGTATTAGTACAGGGAAATTGGTGAATATAGGACATGATGTCACATATTTCTAGATGTTACTTAAGGTGCTTTTAGTGTCTTTGGGAAAAACAAAGCCAATAAATTTGAACTAGTTGAAGGTGCAATTTGGGTCTTAATTTAATTTAAAATGCAGTTGAACGCCTCTACCTGAATGCTTGCCTAACAAAATCGACATTATAAAAAAAGATTCCTTATGTCATGGCTGTATTGTGAATGTATTGGTGCACTACCTTTCGCAAAACAAGTGCTTGTATAATAAATTATTGCGGAGGTTCGGAGCAGTTTGTTATAAAAAGATTTGACTTGCTTTCTTTGGAAAACTATTCAGATTAGCATACTGCGTGTTCTTCACTATCTGTGCTGTGTATTACATAAAAAATATATGAGAGATATGACAAAGAATGGAGTGTTGTACGTATACGTGTGAATGTAAAAGTAACTGAGCATTTTTCAATATAGTGTTTCATAATTGAGAATGTCTTTCCCGTAATTGCATGGCTATGGCCTGGCTTTATAACAGTTCTGTTGTATGAAAAACTCATCTTTATAATGTACATAATCTGTAGGCTGCATTTAGATCAATTCATCAACCTCTAATGCTGGACATTAGCTCAATGACATTGCGCATAGTAAATGTACAGATCAAGGCCCTGATGGGCAAAACTACAATGGGAGCCTAGTATGTAGATACTATTACCTATAATTTTAAAGGAAACTCATTTAACAGTTTTCAGAGGAGTCTAGTGAAAAAGAAGCATGGCACATAATGGAGCGCCTCACAATGTGGCCTTTTAAAGAGAACAGTGACTCGGGTATGTGCGGCTAAGCATGGAGTTGTGCATTCGAATCCTGGCTGTTGTGCCCACATTCCAATGGAAAGGGAGTTGAATATGTTACTCAGCTTTTAATTAACTTCGAAGGTATGCAACTAGAATACTTGAGGTTGATTGATAATGCTTGACAGCACACTCATATACAAAGGACGGAAGATGATTCAATCAACAAAGACAATTTTTGGGAACTAAACTAATAGAAAGTTGGCACTTGCCCTCGTTTTTACCTACCTCTTTCTCCATACTTTGTGTACGTGTGTGTTCTCATGCATCATATCTATTTCTAGGTGTCTTTTCGTACTAGGTGGAGCTTGTAGCATAGAATTGGATAATTTCAATTTCATACTAAATTTTGTATTAGGTATTTATTACATAGACCAGGAAAAAAATTGCTTTTCAGGCTAGACTTCACCTGCTGTGAGTTTTCTTTTGCTGCAGTGTACCCCCATGGTGTTAATGTTGTCGCTGTGTTCTTGCAGTCTCACCTGATATCTACGGAAGGATGGGATGCATTCAAGCTTTGCATTAAAGAAGAAATTCGGAGCCCTTGAAGAGGTGTTCTGTTACATTGTTAATTAATGTGTGGATATTTATGTGTATGTTACATATTTATTAATTTCAGCTTACCTGCTACTTTGTTGCCTTAAACATAATCAAATGGTGCTACCAATAAAAGCATTGCTGTGACTCAGCTTGTGTTGTCTTGTTATTGTCTATCAAATTGTTTTTTTCTGATATGATACACAATTCGTGGTGTTAGCAAAAAGAACAAAACTGCATCGCATGTACAGATCACTCACAGAAAACTTCAGTCATATTTGAAATAATTTGAAGGGCTACTTTTGTCATGGACATCTGAAGTACACACCTCGTAAGCATCATGATTGATTGATATGTGGGGTTTAACGTCCCAAAACCACCATTTGATTATGAGAGACGCCGTAGTGGAGGTCTCCGGAAATTTCGACTACCTGGGGTTCTTTAACGTGCACACAAATGTGAGCACACGGGCCTACAACATTTCCCGCCTCCATCGGAAATGCAGCCGCCGCAGCCGGGGTTTTAAACCGCGACCTGCGGGTCAGCCCTCGTAAGCATCAAAGCGTCGGTTTCAGGTAAACAGGAATCTGTTAACGTCCTGCTCCCACCTTTCTCTCCGCCTTCATAACCTGGGGACCGCATTTCTTTCTGACAGGAATGAAACTTGGGTGCTTAAATTTCACAATTGGATCACAGCAGTGATCTTGTATTTATTTTTTTAGTAAGACTCAAATCTTCTCTTTCTCTCCTCTCCCCGAGAAATGAGAACATTTTTGTTGCCCCTAAATGCGACTCGCAGGCACTTTTTCTCTCGATCTTTGCTGATCCGCATTCGATCTCTTGATTGCAATGAATAATTATTTTACAAATCTCGCGGCACGCAGAAGAGGAAATTGGAATATTCGTCGCCTATCGGGCACGCACGGAACTAATCAAAAGGCTACATGGCACATCATAGGTCATAGGTTCTTACAAGTTTAGGAAACGCTACGTGGCGTCTAGCGCACAATTGTGTGCTGTGACTCGAAATCTCCAGTTGTTGTTGGGAGTATGTGAAACTCGCGCAGCAGTGTTGTGAAATCATTGTGAAACAACATATCTGCCTGAAAGGCGAACAACGGGTTTTCTGCGGTCAGTAGGGGTCCACTATCATCATCATTGATTCATTGCTTGTTCTCGGTTTTCCACGCCATCTTGTAAACCTTGTTAGCCAAAAAGATGGGCACGTTTCTGACTGCTGCGATTTATATTTGATTGCTACTGGACGAAAGAAAGTGCCGTCTATGTGGACCGAAATGTGTTTCTACATCTAGCCGGCCCGTTTGCCATAATCAAATTGTGAAGCATCGCTGCTTCGACATGCGTCGGAGCACTGCAGCGCTTCAACGCAACTCTCGTCGCACTCGATCCCTCCCAAGGTAAATTTCGTTTGTTTAGGAGTTGAGCCACGGCCCGAACGACTGATTATCGCTGACAAACAGTTCATTGTCGTGTCGATAGATTCTCTATCAAGTGGCTACATCGATGCTTTGAAAGCGAACGGGAGCTCGTTCCGGGCGCTACCGGCTTTCGCGTCTTGTTTGGAAACGTTCCCCGCTTAAAAACATTCGTTTCTTCTTGTATTCATTTGCCTTCACCTAGACTGCAGCATCTTTGGTATCTACCGATAATAAAACTTAAGAGTTTTAAAACAAAACGTTACTCAGTTCTTAATCCATCTGAAACTGGGTCGCCTGTCCCACAGCATGTCTTGGTTAATCGGCTTATGATCGATCATATGCAGGGTGGTCGTAGGCGGATGTTTCTAAAATCCTGTTGTAGGTGGTGACGCTGCATTGACCGTTCGAGTGGTGTTTTTTCATGCATGCATTGATTCGCTTTATTTCCTAGCAGCCATGAAAGAGACTGCAAGTTGTCTGTTTTTTCTTCAGTGTAAAAAATATTGCTGTAAATAGAAATCATGTGGTCCGGACCCGCTGGACCGTGGAATCAATGGCCGATTCATGCCTCCATGTATCAAAACGTGCCTCACGAACAAGGTAAGAACCGTTGCACGTGTGCAATTTTTATTAACATAATCTATTAGTGTAAGGCATTGACGTGCCAATAATGTTTTGTAGTCAGCATAGCTTAACTTCACTGCTACTCCATCACAGAGGGAAGCACCTATATAAGAACCATTTGTCTTTAAGATTTGGTGCCACGCGCATGTAAAAGGTCCACCTGAAAAAAAGTGTTAGCAAAGAGAAGTGGGTAGGCATTTTCCTGGCATCGCTCTGTAATGTGTGAAACGTAAACGCATGCGTGCTATTTTGAGTAACGTAAGTTACCAGTGCATTAAGTATGCATTGCCATTTTTCATTCGTTTTCTAATTAAAGCTAAGGGCCAGTAAATGTACGGCAATCTTGTATTGGAAATGTCATGGTAAAGTATGCTAGAACAGTGGAGTACCCTGACCGAGCTTCGAAAAGTGAAGCCCGAACAGGAGCAATCCACTCGTGGTGCTGTGATCGGTAGACTGCAATGTGTCGCCATTTTATGGCAGTGCACGCCTCTACCAAAGCAGTTCAAAAAGCCCGGGTTCGAATTGCAGCTGTAGATGATTGAGTTTTTATTTTCTAGTATAACTTGTTAGAACCATATTGTTTTTATATTTTTCATCAAGCTAGCTGCAGTTGTTACAGTATTGCTACAAAAAGTAACTCGAAATGTGAAGTAAAATACAAGAACTTTGACAGTGAGCGTAATTATTTGTAGTGCAACGGCGTGACAATCACTGAAAACGTATTGTGCGTCTTCAACAGCTTTGCGAATACGATAAATCTCCGAGGCCATACCTTACATTTTTGCTAAATGCTGTGCAGCAGTGCTGGAAATAATCACGCTTTCTGACCATTTTCATTTGTCTTACTTCACATTTCAAGTTACTTTTCGTAGCATTATGTACCAACTGAAGCTAGTTTCAAGAAACAAAGATAACCAATATAATGTTACAGCAAAAAAAATAAAAAAAGTCCACATCTGCAGCTGCAATTCGAACCTGGGCCTTTTTCACTTGAGCATCATAATCTTGGTGTTCTGGAGTTCAGAAGGTTCAGTCTTGGGCATTGCAAAACTGTGAGAGTGCTGGAAACATTCACTAAGACACAGAATGCACGTTACCAAATTGCTTGTCCTTTGCTCATCATTAAAAAAGTGATAGTTGTTTTTTGATCTCAAGACTAAGAACATTGCACAGACAGAAAGGTTCACGATACATGACTCTCCATGACTGTCCTTAAAATCTTCCTCTTCTACATTTGATACCAGTTTTCCATTTTGGCAAGGTATGAGATAAAGCCACTTGGTATTCCATCTTGTCACATAGTGTAGAACAGGACAAAGGATGCAAGAAATAAAGAAGTGCTGTCTATGCCCCATTTTTCCTGTCCTCTGTCTGTTTACAGACTATGTATAATAAGGTCTCCTGTTGGAACCAGTTCTCTGTACCTTCATCATCTGAATATCTCCTTGAAATTGAAGGCCAACTTCAACAAAATTTGGCACTCCGCAAAAAGTCAATATATAGGTAGTCTAGCTAGAGGTAGTGCTGCTTGCCAAATGTCGCCTTCGAAATACAAGCGCTTACCTTAGAAAAAAGCTTGCAAACGATGGTGCTTTTGAGACGAAAACTAGAAAAACGACACCATTGCGACTGACCGGAAGTGACGTGAATTCCAGAAAACTCTTCTGCTCCGCACTCCCCGAGTTCGCACGTCGCGGACGCGCCCATTAGTGTGTGTGTTTTTTCAATGTTAACTTTAGAAAGCTGCTTGAACATGCCTCTCATCGAAACGCTGGTCCGGGCTTCCCACTGGGGAGATTGCAGTGTCTGACGCCCGTATTCAGAAATGCTGCTTGACTTGAACTTGACTTGCCATCGACTTCAATGCAGCACGAACGTGTTTCGAACGCGCTGTCTTTAGGCGGTGCCCAGGCGGCACAAACGCAGACGTGTTTCAAACACGCTGCAATGAAAGCGGTTTCAACGCAGGAAAGAGGGATTCAGCTACAGAGAGGATTGCTCACAAGGAGTGACGCGGCGGCGTTTCTGTAGTAATCGTCATATCCGTTTCTGTCCGATTTGCCTGGGCACACCCCTAGAGCTCGGCGTCATCTGCTTACTGACAATTATAACACCAATTATAAATAAAATACGAGACTGCAATATTTTTCACTGTCGGTACAGTAACTGTATATATACTACATATTTATGGCCGTTTCCGCCCAAGTTAAATTTCGTTGCAGTTGGCCTTTAACTTAGGGGGACTCTTTCAGAACTCATTTCTTGTGCCTCAGCATTTGTCTGAAGAATACTGGTACCTCTTTCTCAGTGGACTGGGCCCAACTCGCCAAGCAATGGATCCAAATGCAGCAGGCACCCCCTGGGCCCGAACCGCCTATGCAAGCACCACATATGGCCCCATCTATGGCACCCAGAGTGCCTGCACCATCTTTGCCGGCACCGCAGGCACATCATGGGATGCCTCCATCTGTACCACACAAACCTCTTCCACCGCAAATTGGTATGCAACTTACATACGCCTTGCTTAGCCAGGTGCTATTCCTTTACTGCAGCTAGCTTGCTTGGGCTTTCTGTGCATTGTATTGAATGAAGCAAGGTGTATATTGGACAGCAGTAGACACACAGGTTTCAGTGCTTGTGTTTCTTTCTCGTGTGCTTGTCAACTTCAGCCTAGTGCCTTCTGAAACAAACTCTGTCAATTAAAACAAAAAAAAAAAAGCCAGACCTGCGCGTAAGGCGCAGCACAGTCTCAGCGAAAGCTAAAAAGAGCGACCTTTCAGAGCCTTTCAAAACATTCATTGTATAATTACTGCAAGCACACTTGCTTGATACCCACTAGGGCATTAATAATAAAAATTTTAGTTAATAGACAGGCATTCACTATGCTATTTTCTGTCATTCTTCTCAGAAGCGTGGTATCTGCTAAACATTTGCAAGGAATTTTATGCCAATTGTTTATGCAGTGGTTGACGACCATGAATTAAGGCTGAACAAGAACAAGCTTTTGTAATAGGTTGGAGCATTGGACGACCCACTGATTACGCTATTCGGAATTGTGCGACGACTGGATTCTTTCGCTGTTTTAAAACGCTTTATAATTGTATTAATGCGATTGCTTTCCTGCCATCAACCCTGCCTAAGGCAAGTTAGCCTACAAGTTCCAAGTACCGGTGTGGCTCAGTGGTAGAATACTGGGCTGGCACCAAGCGGACCTGGGTACGACGAGCCCCCCTTTTTCATTGGTGCTAGGCTTTTTTTTAAATTCCGCTCGATGTAGTTACAAGCGGGCGCGGCGGGCAACTGCGTGTGACCCGAGTTGTGATCTTATAGCAGCTTTCACTGTAAAAAAAACCTCTTGATCATTATGATTGAATTGCTGGAAGGTATGATCCAAATCAGTATGCATGCTATGAGTGGTTTACAAAAAATCTAATGTATGCCCTTCGACATGAGTTTTCACCATTCTGAGGGCGCTTTAGCTGGGGTTGTGCAGTGTGCAGATTGATCTTGACTACTTCTTAATCCACTACAAAGCATGGTATGCTAAGCGATCACAGCTTATTTGACAGTATTGATCATACTTGAGCATTGAGATAAGACACTCATTAATAATTATAGCACAATGATGTCAGAGGAGCTGAATGTAGAATGCTTCATATTATATTAAGTAAGGTGCTGAGACGATAGCAACAGTGCTTCATAGGAGTATGTAAGGCCTGTCATCATAGTTCAAATAAATCTGTGTAAAGTGATGTTGATATGATTTGTACACGACTTTGCTTAGTAGATTCAAACAAATTATTTTTGAACATTCCACATAATGCCTAATAAGGCTTGGTGGGCCGGTCTTTCATATTTAAGCAAGTTGTGCTATACGAGTCATGTGAAACTATATAGATGGAGGACATACCAAAGGACGAAATGTTACTTCACTATTGTTAATGAAGCCGTAGCTAAGGTGGGGGGGAGCTGGTCAGTCATCCATGCTCAAGATTCACAATATGAATACCAGAAACAAGGTGAATAGTGTGTGGCATCAGGCTAAAATGTGTGGGCCAGAATACTAAGTTTAGTCAGGCATTTTGTTGCGTCTTTTTCTGTCTTCTGTAGGTCTTGAACAGACTTATGATAGCAGAGTAGGTCAGGGAAAAAAATGGTTATTGAGGGCATGTTACTCGAAATGAAGAAGAAATGGGCAGGGCATGTAGCTTAAAGGCAAACTAACTGAGGTTCATCTAAAAGTAACAGGCTGAATCCCAAGAGAAGGCAAGCACGTTAGGGAGAAACAAAAAGGGAAGTGGGCAGATAAGATGAAGAAGTTTGGGAGGATAGCAGGGTCCGCAGAAAGTGCAAGACCAGGCTGATTGGCAAAACATAAACCAAGCTTTCGCCCTGCAGTGGGCTTAGCTAACCTAATGCTGCTGCTGCTGCCGCCACTGCTGCTGCTGCTGCTGCTGATGATGATGATCATCGTTATCAGTGAAGTTTGTAGTTTTACATGCACAGTACTTGTGGTTCCCAGCAAGAAAAAAGAAACTGGTTTTTATTTTATGGTTCTTGCTTTGCTCTCTGCTTGTGTAACCAGGAGGCATGCCGTCCGTCGGGCCACCTCCACCACAAGGAGGCTACTGGGCAGGGCCAGCGTCGTCGTCTTGGGGGGCTGGGGAAGGAAAACCCTGGCAGTCATTGGGTTCACATCAGGCGAATGCCCTGGAGGTGGAATGGGCCCTCCTGCAGTTGCTCCCATGCCACCCATGGGTGTCTCTGAGAAGGAAACCTTTGACTACGGCCACGTCTCGTCCAGCCAGCCACATGCCTCCCAGAGCTACGATTACAACCATGGCGGGGCTGAACAGTACGCCCAGTACGCACCTCCACCACCACTCATGGACGTAGGTGCAGCTCAGACATTGCTCCAGCCAAATGAGGCAGGCATCCTGCGGTTATTTAGTGGCGCTGAGGAGGACCGTGTGGCATAATGCCACAGTCACTGCTCTTGCATGTGAAGAATGCCTGGTAACAATGTATACAAGTTAAAGCTCAGTGAACTACCAACAGTTATGAACAGACCAGCGTTGTTGTATTGCACAGCTGTCCTGGCTCGAATCATTAAAGGTTTAATATAAAATACTAAAAGCTTAGTGCTGCCCATGAAGCCCATGCAATATAAGAATAAGACAAGCCTGCATAAACTGATTTAAATTGTCACTGGGATTAAATTTCTTTTGGGTGTTAACATGCTTGCCAACCAATTTTTTTCCTACTTCATGAAGTTCAAGCTAATGTAAGAGCAATTGGTGCAGTATGAAGGTGAGTCAGTGGTGCTGCAATTTGTAGGGCCACATGGTGCCCTACAAAGCAATGATATTTGCAGCTATGCATTCTGTTGTAGTTGTCCATGACATAATTAAACAGAAGGCTGCGGAAGATGCTTTTTGAAAGTACATATTGGCTTTGTAATATCTGAAGCATCATGGGAAGAATATCTAATGACTTAGTGCATGTGTGTTCGTCGTCCCCCCATCTTCACCCATCCTTAGAGATAAGGAAAAATAAACGATTTGAACACTTTAGATATGTACAATGTGCAAATTTGCACAACAAAAATAAAAGTTATGTTTAGGCAACAGAAAGCTGTGTTTGCATGAGCATTATAGGCGAATTATAGGGGTTCCAGCAGCCAAGACAGTTCAACAAGATAAGGCTAATAATTAAAAATAAAGCTTGGTCATTGTGTCATCCTAAGTGACACACATTTCAGCTATGCCATTGGGCTTCTCTCGCAGAGTTATCCAAATGCCGGGGAGCCTTACCAGCACCAATACTGGGGCATGGGCCAGAACTCGTGCCCGCCACCATTCTTGAGGAAGGAGCGCTGCAATGACAGGGAGGATGCCCAGGTTCCCTTTTTTGAGGAAGAAATGCCACAATTAGGTCAGTTTTTGTGTCTCTTCGGCGTCGGACATTTACGAGCAACGTTGAAAAACCTGCTTGTATTTCACCTGAGGACGTTAGATGCACATTGCAAAGTGGTTTCCAGTGGTAACCAAGCACGCAGGAAACAATAGACACCAAGAAACAAGGCATGACTATGTGGTGTTGTTGCGCTGCTCACGGCATGGTCTTCTTTCCTGGTGTCTGTGTTCTTGGTTGCTGGAAGGCATTCTTGCAATGTAACTGTGCCTGTTTCTAAAACCTCTCCTTGTGTCGTTTCAGGATTTAAGCGTGAGCATGGGCACATTAACATGGAAGCTCCCATGTCTCTTGATGTCCTAGATGCCGCCAAACGCAAAACATTGCCCGGTTGGATTCGTGAGGGTTTGGAGAAAATGGAGAGGGAAAAAATGCGCAAGATGGAACGAGAGAAGGCAGAAGCAGAGCGGCGTGCAAGGATCAGCAGACAGGCTGAAGATGACGACCCAACAAATACAAAATCTAAGTTTGTAAGTGGATTGTGCATAACATGTCCAGTGAACGGTGTGCTGATGTCTTATACATAGTGTTTCTGGGTGTGTGGGACATCCATAGCACATACTTGCAGTGTTATAGAAAATATTGAATGCTGAGACTTTTCACAGTTCAATTTTCTGGAATTTGTACTGTGATATAAGTTCTAAATTGGAATTGTAGTTAGATCTGCCCATAACAAAGCTCCATATAACGAATTTCTCAGTATTACAAAGTTTTACCTTTCCCCATCTTTACTCCATAGAAGCACACGTATTTGTAACCTCTGTGTAACAAAGTGGCAGCAGGAGACACCCTTGATAAAACGAAATTTTGCCGCCGACAAATGTGGGATTTTGCCCTAAATATTGTCATTTTGGCTCGACCATGCACCTTTGCGGTTGACCCACCGACGAAAAAAGCGCGAAGCGGCGGCGGCGGTGTTAAGGCAGGCTTAAAGCCCTGGCGGTTGCGAGGCAAGAGCAAGCGCTCGATAGTGCATGCGGGTGTGTAAGAGGCCTGCCGTCACTACTGGAGCCATCGGCGCACGTGCGTGCCTCCACCCATTTAAGGGGGGAAAAAAAGACTCTTGGCAGAGGCACTCTTTGGTTGCTGTAGAAGTCTCAGATCTACACTTTGTCAAGTGACACCAGGTGATGCAACTAAAAAAAAATCTTGCTCTGTGTTGTTATGCCAGGTTAGGTTTCAAGCTTGTGTTGCATATGGATGTCACCTTTCTTAATAGTGTTGCATCGTATCTGTGTTGTTTGCTCTAATTATCGGTGCCGTACGCTTGTGTGTGGCGTCGGTGCACTCTCACGGAATGGTGCCCGATGAGAATCGGTGTAAAATTTTTTTTATATATATTCGGACAATCGTGTTACCGCTACTGGGGAGATCTCATATTGGGGGCTGGTGGCAACTGTCCGACACCACAATGACGAGAGATCTTCGGCAGTCAACTTGTAATGCGCTTTGCTGTCTTGTGCCCTGGCGTAGGGTCACTAGACTCCAATGAACTTAGTGATTAGCTCGCGTCGCCAGAGCCACTCTTGTGGTTGGACCAGCATTGTATTGACGTCCTATAAATGTTCACCAAAGAAAAAAAGTCACTGCAAGAACGAAACAATGAATCTGGCAGCAACAAATTATAATGTTATAACGAAGTAAGGTAGGCAGTTAACTTTTTTTAGATCTGGTATCGCACAACTCTATGAAATGCTGGTGGAAGAGAATACGGTTGCATTAAAAAGAAATGCCCATTTCACAGTCTCTTCGCGTGTACAGTGCAGTACGTAAAAAAGTGTACGAGCCACCTGCTGATTGCTTCCGGATTGCTTCCGAGATAGTGCATGCAATAATGATCGCACCTGTAAAAATCAAAGTTCACAGTTGCTGCTTGCGCACCCCCCCTCCTCCTCGCTTTGTCGTTTCATGTTCGTTATGGGAATAAAGGCTAGCCTGCTGCCATTTCGCAGGCTTTGCTGCCTATTTCCGTGGTTCTCATGTACTAACATGACTCTATCCTCCTCCGCAGTTTGTCGGCACTGGGGGAGCGAGAGTGATGTTAAGGGAAGACGTGGTAATGAAAATTATCTTTATTTATTAAGCTAAAAGATGAAATTCAGCATGCAGATGTCATTTGTTGTGCTGATATTATAACTGAAATCAGTTTTGAGCTATGTAATATAATTTTTGAGTTACAACACTTGATAGATTCTCATTGTCATGCCAAAATTAATTTGCTAATTAGACACAAGCTCGTCAAAATTTGGGCATAAGAATATTCACTAGGGTTCATTTTGTGCCTTAATGCAATTGGTTTATTTTTAATATTTAAGTAAGCACACAAATATTTTTCTGAAATGTCCTGGACATATTTTCTTACCAACAACTTTTACAAAAGGCCGATTACAAAAGTCTGTATGATGTGGACACAAATATGGACAGCTTCACGGCGCTCATCAATGTATCAGAATCCAAGTGCAGGAAACGGAGTGGCTATAGCTTAATTTGTTTATGAAATGGCACAGGATGACTGACAACAACTGCTCAAAAATTGAAACCTGAGAAAATGCGAATCGCGAGCGCCGGCCGCGGGGGTGTTCATCACTTCGCAAGAAGCTTCATTGACTCGTGTCTCGAAGGGACAGTCATGTCCTCGCAACTAGGCTGTTGCACTGCCGTCCAAGGGTTTGAAGAGATGATTGGGCACACGTCCCCCCCCCCCACTAAGTCTCCTGGGACGTCTCGCGCGCATGTGTCGTGAGCCAGTCAGAAACTCTCCAGACAAAGAATAGTGAGCGTGCACGTCTTTCCTTTTCGTCTGTTTTTGTTTGGAGCTCGCTCGGAGTCATCATTGGGCCTTGCGCCTGCGGCGAACCCTTACCTTTCGTTGCCCCTTCCGAACGCTAGGCCGAAGAGCGCTGCGGTGTGTTCGCATGTGGTCGTACTACGTCGACCCGTACCTCTTGAAGCCAACACAAGCAGAGTTCGCCCTCGCTCGAGCGATCGGGTCTTGTTGTCTTTGATCCTGAGAGCATGCAGTATAGTCGAAAGGGCCCGTTCGTCCTAGCAAAGTGTCACCGGGAATCCTTTTGCCCACAAAGACGTGCTTGTGGCACCCTTTGTGTTGTTATTTTGCCGATGGCTTGGATAAGCCTCGTTTGCTAACCCGCCACCTTTTGCAGAGTGCGCTGTACTGCGTTTAGTGTTGCCGCAGGCACTAAAGTGTTGCGACTTGTTTGAGAGCAGTACTGTGTACTTGCCGCGCTTGAGCGTCCGAATGCGCGTGTGCAGCGGCGTTAGTCTCGAGTGGCGACGTTGAAGGTGTCCTTGTTGTTCCCTAAGACTGAACCCGCGCTAGTGGCTGTACTCCTTCGGGATAAATTAGGTTTAACTTTATATTCAAATAGTCAGAAGTTTGAAATGTAATGCCAGCACATTTTTGAGGGTTGTGGAGAGGAGTTGGCACCGTTTGAAGCTTACTGATAATTTTGAGCTACAAGAACTCATGTTAGGTGACAGGGGTAATAAAGGTATCCTCAGTTATTTCTTCATCAGATTGCATTAAACTGTATAATTATGTTGAGGTTTGTGAGCTGGTTCTTAGTACCCATTTATATTTTAACTAATAGTTCTTTAAGCAAATTCTAATCATATTTTGTTGTTTGCAGCAACAATGAAAATGTATTTATTTAATGCTCAGTTGTTAAAGAAGCCCTACAACACTTTTTGAGAATGGTGAGAAAACACTGCCGATCGGCTGTAAAAGCTCTCGACAACACACGAGCCAAATATTATAGCGCAGCACAGAGCCAGGAATTTACAATAAATTATTAAAGTCAGCTAAGAATTGCTTTCTCTTCTCTCAACGAATAACGGAGGAAGCTCAAAGATCACTCGTAGAAGGCCATGTGTCAACCATTGGCCGATTTGAACATGGCGCACTCGATCGTTACAGAGATGGCCGTGAAAGGCCGCGACTTGTCCATGCGTGCGCGTGCGATCACACTGAAGAAGTCTTGCATTCAAAGAAAAAAAAAAGAAGAAAAAAGTGCTCAAGGTCACAAGGTGCGGGTGACGTATTTTCTTTGCCCCTGCCATCCTTCCCTCCTTAGCATCCAGCGCTTTCGTCAGGAGGAGAGAAGAGAGAATGGAGTTGCAGCATGCGACAAATTTTGTAACTGCACTCGCACTTGACGGATTCTTAAAATTTTTGTAGCATTGAGTTCGTGAGGCAATAAGCTCTTCCAGTGAAATAATTCCAAGGGTTAAATAATTCCAGGTGTTTCAGGGCCCCTTTAAAACATAGGCGGATACCAGAATGTATAAAAGATACAACACTGCTAGCAGATTGAAAATTGTACAAGTACCGTATAAACCGGAATATAAGTCTAGGTATTTTCAATAAAACAACTGAGGTAAAGTCGCCCCTCGTTTTATTAGCGGTATCTAGCCGACAGTGCACCGCTGTCTGGCAACATGTGGCTTGCATGTGCATGAGAAGCTGGACACGGCCATATTCGCATTCAAATCCAATAGCAGGTTTTTTTTTTTTCTCTCTTGTCTGTTTTCTTGTGTTCGTGATTTGCCTCCGACCTGATCAAAGTTCTTGCTCCGCTTGACATTGTGTTTTATTTTTAGTGGTCTTTTTTTTTCTTCAATGAATAAAAGTAGCGGTACGAGAAGGCAGTACCCAGCTGCGTTTAAAATAGAGGTTGTTGAGTTCGCAGAAGCAAATGGTAATATAGCTGCTCAGGGCCGCTTTGGTGTATCAGAAGAAAGCGTGCTTTGGTGTATCAGAAGGAGGGTGCAGAAAGGGAAGCTGCAGATGTGCAATCCTCAGGAAAATGTCATTTCGTGGGCGAAGTGCGGTTCACGCAGCAGCTGGAGGATACACTAGGGAACTTTGTGTGGGAAGTTCATGCGTGCTCGCGGCCAGTGACCATGGGTACCATTCTGAAGAAAGCTGTGGAACTCGCTCGCGAAGCTGGGCTCACGAGAGAAGTGTTTCGTGCACCAAACTCTTAGGTGCGTCGATTCATGAGACGCAAAGGATTTTCTTTCCGGTGGCGCACATCCATATGTCAGAAGTTTCCAGACGAGTTCGAGGACAAGCTTATAAACTTTCAGGGCTTCGTGAACCGGCTTCGGGAGGAGAACAACTACATGATGGGGCAGATTGACAATGCCGATAAAGCCCCGTGTGGTTTGACATGCCTTCATCGACCATTATCATGCTGCGCGGCGCCAAGGATGTGAAACTATTGTCCACAGGCAACAAGCACTCACGCTTACCGTCATGCTGGCATGCATGGCAGACGGTAGAAAGCTTCCGCCTTTCATCATTTTCAAAACTGTAAGACAATGCTGAAGGAAGTGTTCCCGCCCGGTGTTGTCGTTCGCGTCAACAAAAAGGGATACATGGACAAATTTATGATGCTCGAATGGATACGAGTAGTCTGGAACCGTCAACCAGGTGCACTGCTGCGTCTTTCCAGCTTGCTGGTGTTGGATGCGTTTTGTAGTCACTTAAGCGACGCTGTGAAGCGTGCACTGTGCGATGGAAAAATGGACCTTGCCGTGATACCAGGTGGTATGACGTCCACCCTCCAACGGATCGACGTGCTAAACAAGCCGTTCAAAGACAGTGCGGCTGAAGTACCAAAAGTGGATATCCGGCGACAACCCAAAGACACCGACGGGCCGCCTACAGAGGCCTCTGGTTACAACTGTTTGTGGCTGGGTGTTTTCCGCCTGGCGTTCCTTGCCAGATTTCATGGTGGAAAATGCTTTTAAGAAATGTTCCATCAACAACTCGCATTGTGGCACGGAAGATAACGCACTGTGGGAGGTGGCACAGCGACAAACTCTCGTCTTCAGAAGACAGTGGTGCTTGGTCTGACGATTAGGAACAGTTGAAATGGTGATTGAGGGGAGCTCCGACGATCGGGGTGCGGTGTGCTCAATTCGGAAATAAATGTCGTTCGGCAATTTCGGGTCGTTTCCCCCCCCCTCCCCCTATTTTTTTTCGGTAACCTGAACTTGGGGGGTCGACCTATATTCCCACTCAACCTATAGTCCGGTTTATATGGTACTGGTTCTTCTCAGCACGATAAACTGTAATTTGCTTCATTCTAAACCAACTTTTGCCATGCTTTGATCTGCGTGTATTCCTGATGGCTGTTTAATTCTTTGTTTTACTGTTCACATGTTATAGTGCACAGATACATTTTTCAACAGAAAATGTAATTATGAATTATGATAAGCGTTTTTTCTGTGTTTCTGTTGTAGCTCCATGTTTTATTACATTGACGAGATCTTGTACCGCTTGGCTTTCTTTATCACGACGCTTCGACTTTTGACTGACCAGTATCTGTAGTAGCTGCATTACCTGTAGTGTATTCTGTGTTTGGTGGATTTATTCACATAGCAAGGGCACATGTTCACCAGTGTGTGTACATTTTTAGGATTCAGACTCTGAAGATGAAAAGGATGCGGTTGACATGTTCAGTGAAGCTGGTCGTGCAAAGCTGTCGCCAAAACGTAATGGTGCTTCCCCACCACGTAAATCCTCGCCGGAGCCAGCACCTGTGCGGCCGAGAGAAGAGGAGTTCAGGTTCCAGACGCCTGAGGAAGAGCATCAGGAAATGGTAGGCTTGTAAAGAAGCATCAACTCGAACATTCCTAGTGAAACCTGAAGTTGTTGCGGTTCCCGGGCTATAACAAGGAAGGTAGCACTGGATGAACTGCATCGTGTCACAGAATCGTAGTGGTCATGTCTTGCAGGTGGTAATGGTGTGGTTTCTTTGCAAAGCTAGTGTAGTTTCAAACAGAGCAAGCTTTTAAAATGCAGAGTTCAGGAAGTGACTGTGTTGACAAGTAACTCATTGGGACAGGCATTTTTGAAACAGTGTAAGTATTCTTTATTATGTCTGGTGCTGGGCACATAATCCAAATGGGAGGTAAAAAAGAACACTTGAGAATATACATGACCATTAATCAGTGTATAGATGTGTGGTGAACTTCAGCTAGAACTTTTTCTATTTCTTTATAGAATTTGGGGCCATGGGCATGAGTGACGTTTGTCTGCCAGTTAATTCACTGTTTCTCTGGCTTTGTTGCTGTTATCTTTCAACTTAAGCTAGAAATGCTTAAGTTAGTCATTTTAAAATGTTGGATTCCGCTACTGTTCAATGGGAATTACACAGGTTATTTTCTGTCTCTATTCAATGCATTTGTGGAAAAATGTTGGTTGATGACGCTGTAGATTTGCTTGGTATTACATGCATCTTTAATCAGTTGTGCGCTATTGTAGCAGACATATGCAAGCACATGCTATGCCTTACGAGGAATGTTCCTCAATTTGCAGATGCTGAAAGTGCGCAGGACACTCACTGAGCTGTTGCTCGAAGTGACCAATGACGAGATGCACTCCTTATGCCAGGAAGTTCTCCAGAAAGCAGTGCTCAAAGGTAGCTTTAGTGCCGTGTTGAAGTTGTGTACAGTAGTCATCGTCATGGTGCAGTGTTGTTGGACATTTACGAAGAAAATATTTGACGTGCAGTCATCTAGACTCACGGGGACCAACATCCATCAAACTGAAAGCATATAAATGTTTAGTGCGACCTAGCCTAGAGTACGCAGATTCAATTAAGAGGCCACACCAAAAATATCTATAAACTGGAACGAATACAATGACTGACAATTTGGTTTGCCTTTTCTGAATACAGTTTAACCTGCTAAACGAATCTCCATATAACGAATTCCTGAATATAATGAAGTTTTTCTATTCCCCACCGTCGCTCCATAGGAGCACATGTATTTGCGACCTCTATCTAACAAAGTAATTGCGGGAGACAACCTTGATATAACGAATTTCTCGCACAAACAATCTTGGAATTTCGCTCCGCATTTCGGCATTTTGGTACGAGCATGCATCTCCCACCGCTGCCCCACCATTGCCGAAGCGTGAAGCGGTGGTGGGGGGCATGCGGACAGCGCCCGCAAGGCAGGCAGGTGGGCCTGTGCCTTACGAGCCGGCGCTGCCCCCTTTCTCGCCGCCACGGTCGCATGCGCAGGTGTGCCCCCGCCCCCCTCCAAACCAAAATAATAAAATCAAAACTACTTTTGCACTTCGGCAGTGCCACACTTTTACTTAGCGTCACATGTGGGGCCGCCCTGCATATGGAGCGCGCTTTGCCGAATAGTTTTCGCGGTAACCGTGTCTGTGTTCGCGCCGTTCGCTCTTCGTTTTCAGCGCCGTGCGCGCGTGCATAGTTCAACTGCGGGTGCATGGTGTGTCTGCCGACGACATTCAGCGTTGCTGCTTTTTTTTTTATTGTGATAGCAATTTATGTATATGGGCTGTTTCGGCTGGGTTTCTGCCGCCACTGCCTTCATTCACCGTACATATGTATACATACCTATATTTATGGAAACTCGAGAAAAAAAATCCACCCGCGCTCGGCTCGTCACGATGTGTTGACGGGCGCTTATCTCCCACATGCACTTTGCCCCGCAAGTGCAGAGGGGGTAGAGGGGGTTAGATGCTTGTGCGCACCTGCTTATCCTTCGGGGGAAGAATCGCGTGCCTTTGACTTTGACCGGAACGATTACGTTTGCTCTTTCGCACACAGTCCCTTCGCGTTAAAACCGGACTGATACTCGTCAAGATAGCAAGCGCACCAGCGATCGCGACCGCCGTTAAAATCCAAGTTCATTATTGCTACTCGAGTGAAACCCCCCTCCCCACGTTGTTTCATGCTCGTTTATGACAGGTGGTTTACTTTCTGTTTGAGCTTTCGATGGCAGTTCTAACAGGCGGGTGATGTTATGCACTTTCAGGCGATAGGGGTGGGCCGACTCATTTGATATCTGCTTCAGCAGCGCTCGCGCGCTTTTATTCGCTTGTGAAAGTTACAATGCGTGGGGTCATGTTGTCAATTTGGAGTTGTTGCAAAACATGGCGGTGACAGCAAGAATCCGCCGAGAGTGTCCACATAATTGCTATTGCAAGAATAACGCAGTTTTTTACTGTAAAATGAGTGTTAGGGGTTAGCTCTGACTTCAGTCCCCCCCTTTTTTTAAGTTGCGCGTTTATTTCCCAAAAGTTCGCACCGAACCTGCATATAACGAAAACATCTTTATAATGAATATTCCGGGAATTTATTAATTTCGTTATATCCAGGTTTAACTGTATTCAAGAAGGAGCAGTGTGAGCCATTAAATTCTCGAAGCTAACCTACAGATGTTAGGTCATGGCAGAATAATATCGAGGTTAGTTTATCATCTCTACCATGGCCACTTCAGAATAAATCACTCTACATATTTACATTGTCGTACGAGACATTCCTTTCGAACGAGTCACAGTAAAATGTTGAGGCAATCTGTGAGCCACATAAACTCGCACAAGTACTCGTTATTTCTAGATGCCAGTGACTGTTGTAATAAATCACCCTAAAGTACGGTTTCCGCTGATTCAGCAGACTCCTTTGTTAATATTGTTGCTAATATGAACTTTGGTGTGTAAAGTGTTCATAATCCGCTATTGCATGATTTACCTTGTATCTTTTCAAACTTATTTGTATAAGAAAGCAACACTTTATGTTAAACTTTTTTTTGTATTTTCTACGTATATTTCTTTTTGATTGATAATGTGTCCTTTTATGCCACTCATCTACATGCGATTTTTTGTCACCATTTCGTCTTGGGCCCAAATGTGGCTCAAGCAGGAGTGGTGTATAAATGAATAAAAATAAATGTATAAATAAATAATGTAATAATAAATAAAATAAAAATACGCAGTGGTGGCACAGCTCTGTCAAGATCTGACCATCGAGTCATCCTTCAAGTTGTATTAAACGTGTACCAATTGACTCATAAAAGCAGATGTCGTCTGCCTTTGATTGCGCCTTAGCAGTAAATTTGAATCCAAAAATTACGCTGCCTTTTTCACAATCATTCTTGAAGTTGGTGGAGCGTGCATGGCCACGGATATAACTAACTGCTGTTTGTTACAAAACGTTCTCCCCTGCAAAAGTTTCAATGTACTGCTCCTTCGGTACCTTTCTCACCCCACTTCTCCTTTGTGCTGCAGTTTGGCATTTCTCGTACCAACCTAGTCGAGATTCCACTCAAGAAAGATATTGAATCGGGAAGAAGTCTTGAATAGTGTCCTACACTGTATAGATCAGTGCAGTTTCTGGCATGGCCAGTTAAAATATCTTGTATTATGTGTACTAGACCGCCCACATGCATATTAAACCTGTGTCAAACGATATTTCTAGAAACCTTCGTCATGGTCGCTTGTCTCTTGCAAATTTTTCGCTGCACAAGGCCTTGTGCCAAAAAGAAGTAAAATGGCTGTTCCACCACTAGTATGAAAACTATTCATCTTTGTTATAGGGCAGTGTTGAATAAGGGCATCAAAGTCGCTATATTTGTGTTAAATGCATCAGTTCCTTTTTATTTTGTACATAGTGTGGTTTAGTCGTTACTGCAAGATTCACATCATGGACCTTCTGCTTTGCGAGGTCCATGAGCTTACGCCTAGGGATGGGTGAACTCTGTTGAATTTTATTTGTTGAAGATGTTTAATGAAATGCTTCAGCTAGTAGTGATGTGAAATTTCAAATCATTCTGATAAATGATGGGGATGCAGTAGGTGAGAAGAACTTATAATAGATGAGTGGCAAAAGGTACAAGATAATTTTTCTGCACAGCAAAAGCTCATGCAGTGTGTCCTGTCGGCCAGTGTGTACATATCTGGTTCCTGAAGACTTGTGCATAATGTTGCTGGACCCTTTGTAGCCCGTTTATGGACTTTTGCTCATTTTAGATTTTGTTGTTTACCTCGGAAAGTGGTTGATAGCTGCTTCAAGAAGGCAGCACAGGCATTCTAAGAAGACTAACTGGATGCCCTGGCCTAACAGATTAAAGTGCTGCATTACACACAGCAAAGCCTGCAAAGCTAATCTACAAAGTGCTATGACGGCACAGTCATTGTGCATGAAATTTCATTATGCAAGAAAGGTGCCTGAGGGTTTTCCAACTTTTTCACATTAAAACGTGTGCAGGATTATCAGTTGTTTGATTGGACAGAAAATTAAAACAAATTTTGGAAGGAGTTTTTTTTTTTTGGTCGCTTGTAAGTTTAACATGAGGTAAAGTCAATGGTTACAGTATGTAGTGAGCATTAATGTAAGCATCATGGCATGTTCTCAGCAGCATGAGGCTCACCACTGCATATGTTTAGGCTGTATTTTTGAAAGCTGTGTGTGTGTTGACACATGTTGTCTTGTGTCTGTGAACAGGAGACTCCCGTGTGTCTAGGTTGTGTTCTCTGTGTAGTGCACTAAAATGGTTTCCTTCTGCTGTATTGCTGCAAAAGCTCCTGCCCGCCAGCTCAGATCCTCCTCCGCTTTGGCAAATATTACCGGTGGATTGGGTAAGTTCACTCTGGGCTGTTGTCAACCCAGCATGTTACAATTTTGCATGCTGAACGGTGCATTGGCAATGGGTCACTCGCTATCTGAAGCGAAACGTTTCTTGGCGCGCTGGAATACCACATGTACTCGTGTAAGCTTTAGACATCTTTTTTTTTTTTTAATCTTGGCAGGGTGAGTTTTATAGAGGCATTTTTTTGATATCCTAAAAAAAGTGGTGATCTTCTGTTGCCATTAGCAGCATATGCTTAAACCTTGAAAGTCTTGGTCATAAAAAACTCATAATATATGAAGACACCACACATGACGCATTTTTAAGGTCCAGGAGCTGTTCTTTGTTTGATAAGACAGATGCTTGGGCTAGCTGGTAATTGGAAATCAACATATTTGCACAGCGCAAGACTACAAGTAGTTACGACGTAACAACAGAAAAGACAAAGACAGAAAGAGCGTTCCTTCTGTCCTTGTCTCTTCTTCTGTAGTTACGTCGTAACTACTTGTTTTACGCTGTGCAAACATGCTGTTTTTTGCTACTGTGCCTCCCCCGCTTCTCCCACCTAATTATAGTCCATCCAGCTTGGGGCGTTGCTCTTGGATGGGTGCAGGTCTTACTCTAGTATGTGTGGTATTCCATGAGTGTATACGTGTTTGATAACTTTAGAAACTTCACAAGCTCCTAGAAATCAATCGAAAGATTGAAAGGTGTGATAATTGACAAGCTCTAAACATCACAGTTTTCAGGCATGAAATCCCAGTGTAAAAATGTAAGCGAGTTCTGAATACTCATTTCCAGGCAACTTGTGTGTTTGCCTTGCCTTACACTACTCTTGAATTTTTTGAACAGGGAACTCATGAGCTAGTCTGAGCAGCTAACCTCGCAACGCCCAAACAAATTCAACAGTGCCAGAGAAATTAGAAGAAAATATATTTTTTTTACCATGGAGCATACATTTCTTTAAAAACAAAAAGCAAACCAATGTAGTATTATCCAGTGCAGGTTGTAGCTGGTCAACTAGTAATTGCTTTGTGAACTGTTCATGTCTGAACATCACTATTGTAATGAAAAAGTGCTACTACGGGCTTTGTAATGGGCTTCTCATGCTCAAGTCAGCCCTTTAAATCAGTCTTACACTGAATGTAGCACATGTAACCTAAAAAATATCGCTGGAAAAGGTGAATAGGCAGCTCTACAGTCCCCTCTCCCATTCATCTCTGCCTCGCCAGTAGTGAAGACTTCTGATAGGCAGGGCCCATGGCATGACCTTTCGCAGGCGGCCTCAGCGGTTACGGCAGTGACAGCGAATCGAGCAGCGGTGCGGAGAGTGGGGATGATTCGGAGGAGGAGCTGCAGCGCTGCATTCGTGATAAGAGAGCTGCATTCGCTCAGTGGGAGCACCAGGTGGCGGAGGAGCTCGACGAAGAGGACCGTCAACACGAGCGCCGGCTGCAGCAGCAAGCAGCTCAGAAGGTAACGGAAGACGGGGGCGTGCGTAACAGCAACAGACCTGGTGAGTACATCTCTCAATGCAAGTTCGGGGCCAAGGGAATGTGGGAAGTTCTGAAGGAGTCAAAAGAGTTGACTTTTCGGCAAGTTGGTGTTTTGACATAGAAACCATTGTGAGAGCGCAACTAAACCGACACATGAGAAGGAGCAGATGAGAGTGTGCCTGTTCTGCTGTTTCTTCTCGTGTGTCCTGTTTCGTTGCGCTCTGATGATGGTTTCTATTTCTAAAGCAGTGTTGGCATGTCTTGGGAGGAGACCTGAAATGCCTATGTTTCTCTCTTTTTTTGTGCTTCGGTCTATTGTAGTTTATTTACTGGCACTGTTGCCCCATTATATGTGCTATTAATTTAACACAAATTAACAGCACAATTGTGACAGTTAAAATGGCCCCATGTTCCTAAAATAAATGCATTTAGTACACCATAAATCTCTACCGTTCTGCTGCATCACTACTGTGCTATTGCATCACTGAAAATGAAAGGCAGTGTTAGCATTTGTTCTCAAGCAGTAAGACGATAGGGTCAAGTGGGCTGAAAATTATCATGAATTGTAGCTCATTACAATGAATCTGCGTACACGATTTCATCCACAATGGGCCATTTTTCAGCCTTTGTTAAGCCTGCCTGTTTTTGTAATGCAACAAACTGCTAGGGAACCACAGCTACGTAAAAGTATTTGCTACAGTAGTCGAAAATTATTGGCAGTTTTTTTTTTTTAATCTTGGCATTGCTAACTTTAGATAAATTGGACCTTTTTCATCAGATTATTCTATCCCATCATCGTGAGGGAAGGTTGTAATAATGGATGAATAAATGAGTGAATGAATGAACGAGCAGGCATAGCTACAACCAAATTTAAAAGTATTGTGCACATTGCTTGCTATCTTGGTTGTTTAGCACATACATGGAGAAGTAAAAATTTTTTATACATCAAAATGTATTCTGAAACCCGTTAAAGTTGTGTCCAGAAAAGACTGCCTGCATGACAAGGAACATTGTGGGAATACGGAGAACTTGCTTTAAACTTTAACAACACACCCTTGTCGAATGCTCACATGGTACAGCATTGTAAGTATCCTAGCACAGCGTTAACACAGTAATGATGCACAAGTCACAAGAGACTAAGTAAACTCCCTGTCAGTGGAACTACTGCTTAAATGGAACCATTGCTTCCAATATGATTGGTTTCATACTCAAAGTCAGCAAGCCTGTTCCTCTCTCAACGCAACTCGTATAAAATGGAACATATTTTTTCCGTTCCTTTAGGTTTCGTATAATAAGAGTGTAGTGGACCTTAAAAAAACTTTTTAAATAGAATTCTTAGAACCTAATTTATGCGTGACTATAAAGAAATTTATAAAGCACAAAAAAGTCGATGCGCCACTTAAGGTTAGGAAAAAGCCCTTGTCCTATGTTTTACATTCTTCGTTTTCCAGTCTTTTAAATGCTAACCACTCAAGAAATAAGTTTTGTATTAGTGGCTATTCTCCCCTCCTCTCCATTATAGGTCATTAAGACAGATTGTGCAATCAGACACAACTGAACAGCGCCATCCTTGCTGCACCCGTGGGTGCGAAAGCGTGATGTGGCTTGATGTCTGATGTGGTTGATGCGGCTGCTGAAGCATTTTACTTAGTCGCATGGCACCATAGTTTGTGGTGCCATATAATTTGTCTAAATTGCGATTGCTGTTAGTGGGAGGAGCTTTATGCAGCAGTATCATATTTAAAGTTCCAGTAGAGGTGTTTGCCAAGAGCATATAATTTCTTTGCAGTATAACCATATTAGTGTCTGTACTCTCGGTCACAACAATAGACGAAGAATTGTTGGATGACTGTGTTTACAAAACTTTTTAGTCAGTTTTTCATTTACATACCTGCCAAGTCTCCCGGATTTTTCGCTAAAAGATTCCCTGATTTAGACCAGTTCCTATGTTTGTACAGCTGTCCGGAGAATGTCTTCGTAATTGAAATTTGTCTGCGTGATCTGGACCCCATTGACAAAAATGCAGCTCAATTCAACCCAGGCTTTTTGCAAACCCATCGCATTCTATTGTAAACGAATATAGGGAACGTTCATTTGAACATATAGTAGAATTTCAATGCTGCGAAATCGGCAGATACAAATTCACAAAATTCCCCAGGCAATTCCACTGTGTTCATTAGGTCAAAATTCAGATATTCCGAACACTTTTTCTCATCGTGGCGGGTCATATAAACTTTAGTACTTGAACCGTCAAACGAAGGTCGAAAGCAATGTGATCAAAGTTTTCGGAAGGATGTGTATAGCCGGTGCACGCACTGTCAGAACTGGGGTTATTGTTTGCCACAACCACTTTGAATTTTTATTTATTTTATTTCACAATACTGCAGGCCAGCATGGCCCAGGCAGGAGTGGAATTACAGAAAAAAAAGAATACAGAAATCAGTGATAACAACACTGGCAGCGCAAGCAATATATCACAACACTCGTAGCATAACAGTTTAACAGTAATATGACAGCAATATAAAAGTTTATAACGCAGCATAACAGCAATATAACAGTTACAATGATTCAATGTTCAATACAACACAAATATTGCTCAAGGACTTCGTCAAAATCGTCTGCCTCGCAAACGAACTTAGGTAGACTGTTCCAATCCGAGACAGTGCGGGGGAAAAAACTCTGTTTGAATGCCTCTGTTTTGGCAAAAATGTGTTGTAGGGTGTGTTTGTGAGCGTTGCGCGTAGTTCTCGCTGTAGTGGTCTTTAAATATGAAGGTGCAGACATACCAAGTTTTCCGTTAAAAATATTGCGCAAGAATTTAAGTCGACTGATTTTTCTGCGGACAGCCAAGGTGGGGATGTTATTAGCATTCATGAGTTGAGTTGGTGAATCTAGTCTTTTGTACTTATTGAATATAAATCTGATGGCTTTCTTTTGTAGCGCTTCTAAGCTCTGTATGTCTTTTTTCGTGTACGGATCCCATACAACGGACGCATACTCCAATTTAGGTCTGATAATTGCATTATACGCTTGAAGTTTAACATTCACAGTTGCCTTTGCAAGCTTCCTTTTCAAAAAGCACAGCTTCCGAAAAGCTGAAGTGCATATTGACGAAATGTGTGCTCGCCACGTCATATCACTTGAAAGAGTGATCCCTAAATACTTATACTGCGTTACAGATTGAATGGGTGAGCCATGAATATTGTAGGTAAACACACTAGGATTTGTTTTTCGCGTTATATTTATGAGCACTGTTTTATCAACGTTTAATTCCATGTCCCATGCTGCGCACCAGCATTCAATGTTGCGAAGAGCTTGCTGTAATAGGTTATGGTCGTCAGAGCAGGTTATTTCTTTAAACACAACACAATCATCCGCGAAAAGCTTAATAGACACTGTGTCAGGGATTGCTTGCACTAGATCATTTACATATATAAGGAATAATAGTGGCCCCAACACACTTCCCTGTGGCACACCAGAAGTGACATTGAGCATCCCAGATACACTAGATTTAATTTCGACGAACTGTTTTCTATTAGTTAAATAAGATTCAACCCACTTAATAAGATAAAGCGGCAATCCTATGTTACGTAATTTCAGAAGTAATTTACTATGCGGAACCTTATCAAACGCTTTAGAAAAATCGAGTAGAAGTATATCAGTTTGCCCTGATCGATCTAAAACTGCCATAAAATCATGGATAGTTATAACCAATTGCGTTGTTGTGGACAATCCCTTCCGAAATCCATGTTGGCAAGGGGACAAGATGTTATTATCCGCTAAGAAGCACTGAATATTTTGAGCCACTATGTGTTCTAGTAACTTGCAACTTACTGAAGTTAAGGAAACCGGTCTGTAATTAGAAACAATTGATTTATCTCCCTTCTTATGGATGGGCACAACACGCGCAATCTTCCAGTCACCCGGAACTTCACCACTACGCAATGATTTATTAAATACCTCTGTCAAGAAATCAGTTATCTGTGTAGAATAGCGCTTTAAAAATGTATTTGGGATTTGGTCTGGTCCTATACTTTTTTTGGTGCTCAGTTTTCTTAGTAAAATCAAAACACCCTCCCTTGTGACAGTGGGAATGTTCACCTCGTTAACAATAGCTGGCAGAGGTACATAAGCATTGGAAAAAGTGAAGACGCTGTGAAAATATTCATTGAATGCCTGCGATATTAAGAAGCCGTCAGTTTCGTATTTGCCGTCCAGTTTAATTCTATTCACTGTTTCATTGGTTTGAGCCAGAAATCTCCAGAATTTAGCAGGATCTTCTTTAATGAATGAAGGGAGAGTGACTTGATAGTAATGTGTCCTAGCATCATTTACTTTGGTCGCCAAATTTCTTTTCAAAACCTCAAATTTTTCGGGTGCTACGTTTTTACGCTTTCTAAGTCGCTTGATTCTGCGTTTAATGTGGATAATCTCCCGAGATATCCATGGATGTTTACGGTTCTGGCGTACCTTCCGGAAGGGGACAAACTGCTGAATGGAGAACCAGACCGCACTTTTAAATCGCATCCACAATGCATGGACATCATCGTGCGTGCTGTAGCTTAGTACACTGTCTAAGTAATCTGTGATTGCTGTATCATCAGCGCGATCAAAATCTTTGACATCCACTGAATTTGTACTCGAACGCACTACAGAGCATCGATAAGGCCAAGAGAAAAACAACAAACTGTGGTCTGACACTCCTTTTTCAACTGTGATAACACCATTTAAAAAGATATCGCTGACAAAGAATAAGTCCAAGACAGCACTGTTGCGCGTAGGCTCACAGACAATTTGGTCAAGGTTCAGAGCTAACATTGCGTCTAAAACAACATCACTCGATTTATATTGCCCGTAAGCTAAGTTCTTCCATTTGATAGCTGGAAGGTTGAAGTCACCTGTAATCATGATGTGACGTGTACGGTTTAAAAGGAGATGGTCGTAAAGCTGTTCGAGAAAAGAATCTGAGACTTCCGGGGCTTTATAAACAACACAAAGCATAAAGGTTAAACCATTTACAGTGACGTTGAGGAACAGGCTTTCGTGATCGGCAATCTGATTGATCAAACATACATCAATACCAAGTTTACAAATAACCGCAACTCCTCCGCCACGTGTGCCTCGATCACGCCTGTGTATCTGATAGCCGGGAGGAATAATTTCGTCATCTCGTACACCATCATGCAACCAAGTCTCAGTGATAACAACCACATGAGGGTCGTACGTCAAAAGCAATAGTTCTAATTTATCCGCTTTGTTCACAATGCTTCTTGCGTTGAAAGAGAGCATACGAAGGTTCTTAAATGCAGACAGTGAAAGCTACGCTGTTTGCGTAGGATCTTTGCCAGATCGAACAATGACACGCGTGTTCGAAACATCATCCCATGCGTAGAACTGTGAATCAACACGCAATTTATCCTTTACCAGCGCAATCCTCTTGCCTTGCTCTTTCTCGACTTTGGCGCTTTGCCATAGCAGTTTTCGTTTTCTTAGCGTGTCAGCAGAAAAGTCATTTTGCACGGAAATTTGTGTTCCCTTCAGCTTTTTGCAGTTCCGCAGCACTTCCTGTTTTTCCGTATAATTTTGAAAAAACAGAATTACAGGTCGCTTTCCAGCACGTTTTCCCAAACGGTGTATTCTAGCAACAGACAAGCACTTTACGCCGAGCCTATCCTCGAACACCTCTTTTATTACTTTCTGCCGTAGAACATCCTCCGTTTCATTCGCTCGCTCCTCTATGCCAAACACAACAAGGTTCGACATCCGACTCCGGTCTTCCAGATCTGTAAGCTTTTCCTGCTGCAGCATGAGTGTTTGCTGAATTTTTTCAACCGAATTGTTGAGAGTTTCAAAACTGTCCACTTTCCGGGCTATTTCTCTTACATTTGCTTCTAATTTGGTCATTCGGGTCGAGAAAGAGCTAACACTTTTCTCGGCAACTTCCAACCGCTGTTTAAGCTCTGCTAAATCTTCCCTAATAGCCTGCTGGCCCTGTATCAGTGTCTGGAGCATTTCAGTATTGGTAGGACCTGGATTCAATTCCACATCACCACAGAGTAGCAGTTTGCACACATGGTAGCACTCGTACGCCAAAGCAATCAAAGTCCGTGGGCACGGCACGACAACAACACCTCTTTCATCACTACAGTATGAACCAACACAACTAACCTGGAACAAGAATGCGGGACGCATGGTTAATGGTCCGCTTCTCGAGTTTTCGCCGTGCCCACTGAAGAATCCGATTTGAAGCTGTTCTTTTATATGCGTTGAACTGGCCGATGTCACGCATGCGCTGCCGATATCCTGTCCAAGATACGAGGTCCAGTTGATGGCAAATTCCGTGAAGTTGTCGCCTGTTCCATAAGCATGCGAAGCGCAGGTGCGATTCGGCGGTGTCCAAGAAGCAGCGACAATTGGCAGCAAAGCCATCTGGAACAAGAATGCGGGACGCATGGTTAATGGTCCGCTTCTCGAGTTTTCGCCGTGCCCACTGAAGAATCCGATTTGAAGCTGTTCTTTTATATGCGTTGAACTGGCCGATGTCACGCATGCGCTGCCGATATCCTGTCCAAGATACGAGGTCCAGTTGATGGCAAATTCCGTGAAGTTGTCGCCTGTTCCATAAGCATGCGAAGCGCAGGTGCGATTCGGCGGTGTCCAAGAAGCAGCGACAATTGGCAGCAAAGCCATCTGGAACAAGAATGCGGGACGCATGGTTAATGGTCCGCTCCTCGAGTTTTCGCCGTGCCCACTGAATGAAACCACAATCGCTCTTGTCACAATTATGTATGGCGATGACGTAATTGACAAAACTCCGAAAGTGCACGAGCGTCTAATGCTCGAAGAGTCAAAGCGACGTTGCTTTCTACGAATGCTGCGGACAAAAGCGTGGCAGATGCGATCATAGATATAGCAAAAAAACGACTTGGTTCTGAAGGCACATGTGCAGTCAGCGCATGCGGATTGACAATGGAATAACCATTTTTAGCAACCGCCGCACGTGAAATCGTGGTCGCGGTGATGTGAATATTAATAGCAACTACTAGCAGAGGGCACATGGCTAACACAGGGGTGGATTAAGGTCAGTCAAAATGTAAAGGATAGAAGCGTTTTTAGCATTACTGTCTAAAAAATCTAGTAACATTGTTCTTGTAAATCTGTGTACTTTGGATATACTTTGGCATTCAGTTATCAGTTGGCCTCAAGCGATTTGGCCCGCAATTTCTTGACAGCCGGCTGCGCTGCCCAGTTCGTTTGTGTGTTTCCCAGGAAGACATACATAAGTTCTGTTGACAAAAATAAAGTTTGCTAGTTGTTTCAATGATGCGAAATTAGGTGAGATACAAATGCGAGATACGTATACTTTTTGGGACTTGCACTTTCTACTGTAGTTGTCAAATCGTACCCTCGTGTGTATGGCCACTCCAAGCCATTATATTGCAGAAATCTCCCGGATTCGGAATCCTTGAACTTGGCAGGTTTGAATTTACCTACAGAGACATTTTTATGATGATTGGTACATAAGTTCTTTTGACAAAAATAAAGTTTGCTAGTTGTTTCAATGATGCGAAATTAGGTGAGATACAAATGCGAGATACGTATACTTTTTGGGACTTGCACTTTCTACTGTAGTTGTCAAATCGTACCCTCGTGTGTATGGCCACTCCAAGCCATTATATTGCAGAAATCTCCCGGATTCGGAATCCTTGAACTTGGCAGGTTTGAATTTACCTACAGAGACATTTTTATGATGATTGGTGTTTTTGCTGCTGTAATGTTGGAATTATAATGGTCTGTCAGGGTCCCATTGACACAAAATATTTTCATCATTCTGCAAAAGTGACAGCAGTAGAATTGTGTGGTGTGAAACTGCACATTGCAGGAAAGCATGCTCAGTAGCATCGTCACAGTAGAAGCATTTCCAAGTACCGTAGTATGCAATAAATGAAATTGCAGGGTCTTGGGTTCAACAACACTGTAGTCACTCCTGATATTTTTTGCATCTCTTGTTTTCCATCTTGCCAATATAACGACAACATCATGGAGGGTTAAGGAGTCTTTATGGTTGTGTTTTAGCCGAGAAGAGTCCTGCGGGCGCTTTAGACACCGACTCTCCTAAAGAGGCCAGCCACGAGGAAACGGCAGAACCCGATAAAAATGAAGAAGAACGAGAGGACCCCGGTGGCACTCCTCAAAAAGACTGGTCGAGCCCTCCACAGGCGGAGCTTCCAGATGAAAAGGTCAACAATGCAAGCATCAGTAGTAGCAGCAGCAGCAGCAGCAGCAGCAGCAGCAGCTCTTCTTCTCCTGAGCACAATTCTTCGGAGACAGACGACCGGCATGACGAGAAGGCATCATCGAGGAAAGACCGAGAGAAGGTCTCCAGGCGCGAATCGACGAAGTCATTCTCGGAGAAAACAAGTGTCAGCAAAAAGCGACATGACAGAAGGAGCCGCAGCTCTTCCCGTCGAAGAAAAAGTCGAAGTCGTTCTCGGGAGAAAAAAGACAAGCGGCGCTCCCGGCATCACCGCAGCAGCAGCAGCTCTAGCCACAGCCAAAGCAGTAGGCGGAGACGAACCAAGCGACGAAGTCGGTCAAGGGATAGAAAGGACAGGCGCCGACGGCGCAGGAGCAGCAGCAGCAGTCACTCCAGAAGCCGAAGTCGAAGCCACGGTCGACGAAGAAGTCGCTCAAGGAGTGCAAAGCGCTCAAGCCGGCGTAAAGATAGAAGCCGAAGCCGAAGTCGGAGGCGGAGACGCAGCTCTGAAAGCGCAGGTTCGGGTAAGAGGTCCAGTCGCAAAAACAGAGACCGATGAGACGCGACGTCCATTACAGGTGCAGTATGCCTTTTTCTAGTTCTCACTTGAGTGCCTTCTCCAAAAGCTGTGCTTTTCTTTAGCTCAGGGTTTCTCAAACTTTATGGTCTTGAGGAACTCCAACACTTTCTCTAGAGTTCTGTGGAAGCCCTCCCTTCTTTCCACTAATGCACTTCGAGTATTTAGACAATGTGGGTAGGGGAAATTGACGATGCTCTGTTTCCTAACTTTATACATTAATCCTACACTTGGCTAAGTATACCACCACCACATTAACATGTTATTTTTAATCTCAAAGGCCGTTGCTGTAGGTGAGAAAGCGAGATTGCATAAAACATACAAACTATTTTCTTTCTTCCCAAACCCATGGGAGTCGCTCTGAACATATGGCTGCTGCTTTGGACACTGCATGCTGTAAATGGTGTATTCATGCAAATGAAATATTATACATAGAAGGTTAATTTAATTTGTTGCAAAAGAACACACACACAGAGAAACGTTACATGCTAGCCATTCTGTGGAATGGCTTTCAGTCTGCAGGCTTCAAGGCAAATCCTTTTTTTGTGTTGCTCGCCGCCGGCAGTGATTCCACTCCTGCGCCAATGTGCACCAAATCAGATTTACTGCAACATCTTGCTAATATAAATGGAAATTGTGCCAAACTGCGACAAAGTCTCATTTGGGAGCGTCTATCATCGGCTATAGCCACGTTACCTAGAATCATTCTGCTTGATAAACAGCGGTCGTGCGCGCAACCCAGGTATTCCACAATGCTATGGTTGGTGCCGACGCAACTCTTGTTTTGCAAGTCTACTTAACGGCAAAACGCGCTCTTCACAGGGGCTCGTAACGTCCAGTTGAATCGGTAGCGTGAAACTGCGATTGTTGAACGCAGTCCGTATCAGGAACGCTGCTGATAGCTCGTCTGACGAGTTGTGTGGCACGTAATTAAAGCAATTTTTGCTAATGACTGCACGCGTGTCACCAGAATGTCTCGCGTCTGCTTCTGGACATCCCGATCTAGTTTTCCATGCTTCACGTCCACATAAGAACACGTGAATGATAGGAACGCACTGACACTTTTCTTTTAATATGCTTTAAGGTTCTTCATTCAGAAGTGCCTTTTGTAATTTCTTCCACCAGCACAACCGCGTTCGTAATCGCTTTCGTGGTAAATGCCCCTAAAAGACCCTGCCATTTCAACTCGTGGGTGCTAGGGTTCGAATTGAAATTTTTTTGCGTCGTCATTTCTTTAAAAATGTCATCTCAATAATAAAAGCATGCCTTCTGGTCGGAGTAGCTGCGATTCGATTTTAATTCGCTCAGCTTTCAGTAGTGGGCCCATCATTTACAGCCCTGGTGTGGAAAGGCCCACTGTGAAGCGTTCATGCCATGTTACATGTCCACCCCTCGCTTTCCAGGCTCAATAGCTGACGGTTAATAAATAAACGTCACGGCATCGCATATTTATTGCTTCATTTAGGGGTGTGGGAGGCTACATGGCTTGAAGGGCGCAGTGGCTGACGTTCGCGATCACCAGGCATCATGAAGGGGCTCGTTAACATTCTTTGCGATTACATAACTGAAAACACAAGAACGGCATTGGCACCTGGAGCCCTTAAGCAGCATTTTGTTAAAGTTACGTAATATCTGGTCTAAAAGATACAATTTGAAGTAATCTGCAAGGAGCACTTGCTGGGGGGTTGCCATTTCGAAGGTCCGCACACTTGATGCACGTGCTGTGTTCGATATCCATACGGTGGCTTGGATGACCCCCGGAACACTTCTTGCATGCGATGCATGTACAGCACGAACGGAGCGCATGAATGTACCTCCAGAATGGCACGACAATGGTGTGGCTGCCATGATCAAGGTTCACTGCATACTCCCTATATTGCCGCTCCAAGAAGCGAAGCACTTTCCGCACAGTCTGTTCGTATTGAGAGTACAAGGCCTAGAGCGGTATACAGTTAAACCTGCTTATAACGAACCTCCATATAACGAATTCCTGGATATAACGAAGTTTTTCTATCCCCCCGCCGTCCCTCCATAGAAGCACATGTATTTGCGACCTCTATATAACAAAGTAACTCTGGAAGACAACCTTGATATAACGAATTCTCCCCACGGACAATCTTGCAATCTTGCTCTGCATTTCGGCACCCGCTGCCGCCCAAGCGTGAAGCGGTGGCGGCCGGCACGTGGTCCGCGTCTGCGTGAGGCGGGCTGGCGGGCCTGCACCTTACGAGCCGGCGTCGCCCCCTTTCTCGCCGCCGCGGTCGCATGTGCGGGTGTGCCCCCCTCCCCCTTTAAAAAAAAAAAAGACCACTTTTGCACCTTTGCAGTGCCACGCTTTTAGTTAGCGTCACATATGTGGGGCCGCGCTGCATACGGAGGGTGCTTTATGGAATAGTTTCCGCAATAATCGTGTCTGTGTCGCTCGCTCTTCATTTTCGACGCTGTGCACGCGTGCATAGTTTCACTGCGGGCGTATGGTGTGTCCCCCGACGACTTTCAGCTTTTCTTTTTTTTTTATTGCGATAGCAATTTATGTATATGGGCTGTTTCGGCTGGGTTTTTGGTGCCGCCGCCTTCATTTATTGTATATGTATATATGTATACGTATCTATATTTATGGAAACTCAAGAAAAAAAAATCTGCCCGCGCTCGGCTCGTCACGGCGTGCCGACAGGCGCTTATCTCCCACTTGTACTTTGCCCCGCGAACGCGGAGGGGGGAGAAGGGGTTTATTTGCCTGTGTGCGCACGCTTATTCTTTGGTGGGGAGAATCGCGCGCTTTTGACTTTTACCAAAATGATTGCATTTGCTTTTTCATGCAGTCTCTTCACGTTGAAACCGCACTGATACTCGCCAAGATAGCAAGGGTGCAAGCGATCGCGACCACCCTTAAATCCTAGTTCAATATTGCTACTCGAGCGATTCCCCCGCCCCCCTCCCCACGTTGTTTCATGCTAGTTTAAGGCAGGTGGTTTACTCTCAGTTTGAGCCTTCAATGGCAGTTCTAACACGTGGGTGATGTTGTGCACTTTCCAGGCGATAGGGATGGGCCGACTCATTTGATCTCTGCTTCAGCAGCGCTCGCGCGCTTTTATTCGCTTGTGAAAGTACTGTGCGCAGGGGCATGTTGTCAATTTGGACTTGTTGCGGAACATGGCGGGGACAGCAAGAACCCGCCGAGCGTGCCCATATAATTGGTATCGCAATAACAAGTGCAGTTTTCGACCGTAAAATGTGTTTCGGGTTATCTCTGCCTTCAGTCCCCCTTTTGTTTAATTTGCACGTTTATTTTCCGAATTTTCGTACCAAACCTCCTTATAACAAAACCTCTTTATAACGTATTTTTCCACGAATTTATCAATTTCGTTATATCCAGGTGTAACTGTACCGGCTGTCTGTAATACCTGCAGAAACAGCATGTGCTCTGTGATCGTGCCCTTGATGTCAAAGTTTATAGTTGCTTGCTGCTTTGGAATTAAAATGCACCCCCCCCCCCCCCCCCTGCGTTCGTTCATGCTCCTTGAAGACAGTATTATTGAAGACAGGCGGCACGTTCCTCTTTGCTTGAGTGGCAATCCATGGCAGGCCTGGCATGCGGCGTGATGTTATTGCGTGGGTTCTCCGTGCAACGTAGATAGGTCGGCTCTTTTAATTTTATCTCTGCTTCAGCCGTGTTCGTCATCTTCACTTGTGCGCTTTTATTCGCGTGTACAACATATGATGCGCAGGAGGGGGATGTTATCTATTTCGACATTATACAAAACAGGACAGGAACGGCAAAAAGCAGTTAAGAATATCGCAATTAAAACAATATGGCTTTCTCGTTCCAGTTGTCAGGTGTATGCATGAGGTACGCTGTGAGGCTTTTTTCCTTTTTTTTTTTGCGATCCTTTCTAGAGGACTACTGGGAGTTCTTGGTGTGCAGACAAAATGGCTGAGCCATATAAAGCTTCGCTGCAAAAAGAAAACAAAGTTTGTTAAATCATGTAGTCCAACAGAGAAGCCTCAAGAGGTGGGAGTGTCACAGGAGATTGGCTTTGTGAGGCTAGGACGTCATGTTATGTCCAGCAATATGATTGATGGTGAAGAAAAAAGAATCTCCTTTCTCTTGGGGTCATTTTAGGAGAATACATTTGGGACAGTGTGCGTCTCTAGCATTGTACATTTCACACATTTGCCTACCCTGGCTGCTGATAACCATGTAGGCGTACTTAAAATGTTAGTTTATAAAATACAGTTTTATTGAACGAGTATTTTGATTATTTGCTACAAAAAAAAAAAAATCACTGAACAAATTGGATACTGTGCACATGAGAAGGCCAGGGGGGCACAGTCCCCCCCTAGTCACCTAAGATAGGGGGGGGGGGGGTGCCCCCGTACATTCATGCGGCAAACCCTCGCCTGCCTTCGGCCCCTTGAATGGGAACCATGCGCACGCTTATGCTTAACAGCACGGTGCCAATATTTTTGCATCATTGATTGAAATTTATAGAGCGTGTGCCTGAGATAATTGACTCCATGAGATCTACAATAAAGCAAAATATTATCTTTTCACAAGCACCCCAAAATAATTATTCGTGTCCTTGAATATATGTAAATGCAACTTGCTTCTCCAGTGTACTCCAGGATGTGAAGTTAGCTGCTCGTGAGTACTCCCAGATTTAAAACTACCTGCTCCAAGGTGCTCCAAAATGAAAAATTAAGCTGCTCCAAAATTGAAATATTTCTGCTCCAAAAATTTCTCTAATCGGAAGACTTCAGTAACAGGCCGGTGTAATGCGGTAGCTCTCGTACACATTAAAATGCATGTTGCTCATGTCAGGGGTGCAACAGCTGAGCCAATTGTGGCAATTTGATAAAATTCCCCATTTTTGTGCCAGGCTGCACCAAAATGCTTGACCAGCCTCAAAGTTTTCTCAGTTGCGCTAATTTCAGCGAGAAACGGGGACCATGTTGGCTATGTGCAGTTAGTGTCGTCAATCAATCTAAGTGCGCAAACTCTAAACCACGGTGCAAAATATAGTATTCCCATTAGTAGATCAGGGCATTAGTCGGTCTGCTGAACCCTGCAGATACATATCGGCGGGACGACGCAACTTGAAGACAAAGAAGCGTTGCCGTAGTCACCAACGCTTCGCGAGAAATGTGCACTTCCTGGTCAGCGAACATGGCTATGGCATGTTAGCAACTAAAATCTGGAAGCGTATGCCGCATTACCCACGTGCATACAGACTCAGTGTGCTGCAAGAATCAATGTTGCCGGCGAGCACGTTGGTTGCCCTAGAAACGGCGCATAAAACATTTTTCTGTATTGAAGTTGCGTCATCCCGGCGATAAATACCCGATGCCGTCACCGGGCCAACAAGCGCTCGCTTTTGTTACTTTATCTGGTCGAACGCGCCTTGCAAGTGAAACAAGTTGGACCCTAAAACTAATCCCATTGTGAAAAAAGAAAAAAGGGGGGGTGGTAGCAGTGTTTCATAACTTGTTTCAACTCGGGCAGAACGCTGCTTAATCCACCTTTACCACAGTACACTGGTGCCCTGCGGAGAAGCGCGTGATCTTGAAGGGGCTGTTAGCACTAATCATAGTACAAAGCATGTTTTAATCAATTACTCGTTTGTATATGGCACACAATTGTGACTATTAGTAGGAACGATGACATAAGAGAAAAGTACTGGTAATCTTTTGAAGCAGTGTCTGACATTTCTGGCACCTTAAAAAAAGTGTGTGCATTTTTTTTCTTTTTTTTTTCGCCACCACCATGAATCTTCTCATTTCAAGGTCGCCAGCTTGCCAGTTCCACATTTGAGTTCACAACAAATTATAATGTGGACATCATCATTATTTGCTCAGTGAAGTGGTTCAAAATACTACTTTTATTTAAATTGCAGTGCTCTTACTAACACTACACTATTTAGGGCATGTTGAATGGTTTGTACATATTTGTTTTATTGTAAGACATTTTTTATACTGCTCCAAATTTGGTATTTTGGGGGAAAAAAACTAATGTTTTGTTCCCTGTAACTTGTTCCAAATTTGGATTTTTATGCTCCAAAAGTAACTTTTTGCTGCTTCAAAAATTGCTCCAAATTCTATTTTGGCTGTAGCACCCCTGTCATGTTGATTTCAGTCAAACCCATCTTCTTCGGATTCGTATAAATTACTGATTATCTTGTACATAGAAATATTTTCATACATGACGACGCTTTAACATCAATTAACCGGAAAGAAAACCTACAAGAAACTAAAATAGCTAGGACACTTTGCACATTGAACACAGGGCAGTGCAAATGCACCAAGTGGGTGGCTTTTTCCTCCAAAAATGTTACTTATTCTCACGGAAGAAGTCTTTTCTGCATGCATTTGGAAGAGCGAGTGGCGTGACCTGAAGGGTGCTTCTCTGAGAAAATAAAAACCACCGCTTTGCCATCACTTGCTTTTTCTGAGAAAATAAAAACCACCGCTTTGCCATCACTTGCTTTCTCCCATGAGTTCTAGTCGTCGTGCCTGTGTACCTGTCGTTTGCCATAGCCAGGTGTGCCGTTTGCTTCTCCACATTTCTACATTTCCTCTGCTAATGCGATGGCTACTGTCAAATGGAAGAATCTGCTGTACAATGCAAAGCTTGTGGTAATGAACACATATTGATTATTAATCAAGAACTAGTTGTAATGACCAATATAGATTGCAGGTGATGTGTTGAATTGCAAGAGATATGTACCTTACTGCTTGAGCATTCATTGTTAAGAACACTTGTGTGATTGCCAAATGTGCTTAGCCATTATGACCTTTAAAAAGTACTTTTACTGTTCCCTCTCATATTGCTGACAACTCTACAAGTGAATCTTCTTGCAAGCAAATCTGCAAAGGTAGCTTGGTGGATGTGGTTGTTTACTTTTTATAAACAATAAACAGGTCACCGCTCTATTTCTGGCTGCTGGATGACCTCATTGCAATGTGGGTGAAATGAGAACATATACTTTTGCACTTAGGTTTAAATGCACATTAAGGGACACCAGGTGGTCAGAATTATTCTGGAGCCATTCACTGCAGCATCTTTCTTAACGCACTGTGCAGTTTATGAATATGAAGCCACACAATTTCAACTTGTGGCCAAACTTGTGGCCAGGAAACTGAAGGTCGGATTATGGCAACACACGGGCACTGATAGCGGCAAACAGAGCGTCGGCTGGCGATCTACTGACATGCGGTGATGCGCGTCGCCATTTGTACACGTGTCGTCGAATATTCTAGCTTTATCGTTAGCCGCGATGTAGGTTCCAGAATAATCTGTAATGGTCTCAAAGTGGGCGTAATGTTAACGAAATGATCTACTACAGTCCCGAATCTTCTCGAACAGTGCATGCGCGGTTCGCTCTGAGAATTGCGTACAGTGTGATGGGGTGATAACAAAACTTGTGGAAGGAACGTGGCAGTATTTCCACTATGCCAAAGGTTAGAGGTGGTTTCCTGCATTCTGGTAGCTCTCTTTCTCTCCAGCTCTGGAGCTTGAGGAGTGTGCTCTGTGTTCCATTTACAGGTGCAGACGGTCGATGCGCACCGCTTCCAGTGGAATATCATCACACACACACTCAAGGGCTCATCATTGTGAGCATGTGGGTCAAGTATGATTTCTTCTTGTGAATAGTAGGGCATTGTGTACAGAAGTTGCAGTGTGCGGTACTGCTGCCCCATTAAAAAAAAATTTCCTACTGGTGAATGCTCAGTGAAGAACTCTGTCCACCAACCAACCTCCTGTCCTTTCTTCCTGCACCGTATTTTGTAAAACGTGTAAATAGCACGAGGCTTTGAAAAAGTCTCGCCCATCAATCATCACTGAGCTGAGTTTACCTTGCACCAACACCTTCCCCCATTCAATCAGCCCTGCTCTTTCGTGCCTAATAAAGTTGCATTTGTCATATGTGCTTTCTCGTGGATTGTGTTCTGCTGCAAATAAATTGTGCCAATATTGCTTACTCTGCTTTAGGAGTCGTCTTTTAAGTTCGCATCAAGAACATTACCTGTCCCAATGAAGATAAGGCTCTGTGGTGTGAACTCGTCAAAATCAGCATTTTGCATAACTTGGAACTAGCAATGACAAAAGCATTCTTTGTGTGACCACATGTGTGACACTTTATATTCTTGGCATGTAATATTAATGTGACATTGATTCTTTGAACACTAAATATCATCTTAAAGGAATCATTAACCACTTTGCTAAGTAATTATTGATTGTTTTCTGTGCCTGAATTTCTTGTCCCACAAATTAATTGCCGCACAAATTTCTTAGATATGTTAAGAATGAGTGAAGTTACTGAGGTTATTGAGTGCTTAAAGGGCCACTCACCAGGTTTGACAATTTCGAGCTGACAAGCGAAATGCGTAGATGAGGCATTCAATGATAAAAGCTACCAAAATTTGCAATGCTACGCACCGCTGAAATGGGTCCAATTTCAAGATGAACGCTGCTCCTCCTTCCTTTCGCGGGTGCGCGCCCAGAGATTGAGGGCATGATGAGCGAGTATGAATGGCCCTACATACACGGCAATGCAGTGACGTTGGTCCTCTACGTTGACTATGCTCTGACGTTGCCAACAGTGGCACGTGGCATGGCGAAAATTATTTAACACGACATGCATAGTTTATGTATTTGTTGCTTGAAGAGATTAATAAATCTCTATAAAATAATGAGATGCAAAAAGGGAATGTGAGCACTTTTTTTCTGCCTTTTTCCCCCTTGAATTGCAACAAGATGTGGGGCTCATGTGCCGGCGTTTCGCATGCGTTCATGTCCCCGCAGCCGCGGTCAGCGCATCAAGCAGACGACAGCTGTGGAACGCTCCAACGCGTTCGCGCACTCATTGTGCTCATCTATTCTACTGCGTCTAAGCCAGCGTTTCCAAACCATGCCACAGAAATGGGCAGTACACCTCATAGAAACGCTGGTAAAAAAAAAAGAAAATGTTCGCGTGCGTGGGGGTTGGGCTTGTTCGGGCACGTCATGCGCACGTGACCTCTTGGTCAGATGCCGGAGAGGGTAGGGAAGAGATTTGGCTTGTGAAGGCTACGCGGAGGAGCGGCAAGAGTTCTGAGCTCGCCGTCTCTAATCCTCGTTTCGGGCCGCTTCTAGAAAACAGTTTTCTCAGCTCGTAATGAACCAATTCAAGAAATTTTTGTGGCAAAATGTTCCTCATCGGACACCCAACAACTTCCATGGTCAGCTAAAATTTGGTATGGTGCCTGGTGAGTGGCCCTTTAAGTGCCTTCTCTCGAACTGACAAGCACAGTGGAAGCTACATGGGGAGGAATGACTCGAGAGAAAGAAGTTACACCAGCTTTCGTGATGAAATGCTTTCACTCTTCCTTCTTGTGAATTCTGCATGCGAGAGTGGCTCATTGAAGAGTTTAGCAGACTGTGGAGTGCAGTGATAGCATGTGGTAGCACACCATGACAAAAATCTTACCTGATTTGAATGCTGATCTTGATTGATTTATGCCAGTTATTGGCCTATAGCATGCTATCAGCTGACCAACAACGGGGGGGTTTCGGCTCCCTCCCACGCCTAGCCGTGCGTGGCTTTGCCGTGTCCGGGGAAAAGGGGATCCTGGGGGTTGAGCCGACGCTGGGTGATTGGACCTTTAAGGCCCCCCCCGGCAGAAGCAACACACCCCTTTGGCCCCGGCTTCACGTAGACGGCACCCCTGGGCTGACCCACCCAGGGGAAATCGGCAGTCGCCTTTTCCTATCACTCTCTTCCTACATCTTCGTCTTTATCTCTCACTTTTTATCTGTCCTGTCATCTTCTCTTTTCCGTTTACTTCCGAATTTCCTGGCGGCGAGGGTTAACCCTGTGTAGTTACCCAACCTTGGGTAGTTATATCCGGTTATAGCGGCGATGCATGGCTGGCATCTCCAAGTGTTCACTAGTCAACCTTGTAGCGTCCCCTTGTTGGGCTCGGTGGTGGGTGGCCACCATAGCCGCCGAACTTTATAGTATTTTTATGGCAAAAGCTTTTCCCCTCCTTCCTGATCGCTTCCTAAAAAGGTGGCGCACCGATGATACTTTCCTGCCTAACACACCAAAGCCGACATTCCCAAAGTACCATGTAATCCACAGTCAAAACGAAAACAAGACAGTCCGAGCCATTTCACCTTTTCTCGTTTCCAAAACTCTCACAGAAGCAATAGGCCCAGGTTATAAAGTGACAAAGATGGGAAGTGGCGATCTTCTTTTGGAGGTTCGTGAGAAACCTCAGTATGAAAAGCTGTCTAAGCTTGTAGCCTTTGGGGAAACCCCTGTTTCGGTGGGCCCACACAGGTCCATGAACACTGTCCGTGGCGTAATTTCTGATGATGATCTTACTGAGCTTTCTGAAAGTGAGCTGCTCGAAGGTTGGCGGGACCAGAACGTGGTCAAAGTCCAACGAATAACAATAAGGCGCAACAACAAACTGACCCCTACAAAACACGCAATAATTACCTTTAGAACAAGTGACCTACCAGAATCAATTGAAACCGGCTATTGTAAGCTTCGTGTAAGACCATACATTCCCAACCCTCGTCGATGTTTCAAGTGCCAACGTTTCGCAATACACAACCCATCTTATCCCTCCTTTGCAGATGTGACGCGCCGGGGCGCCGTGCCACATGCCTCGGCACCCGCGAATGTCACACAGTGTGTGGCCGCGGTCGTGCCGCCAGCGCCCCCGGCTGGAGCAGCCTGTACTGCTCCGCCACCTGACAAACAGGGCCGGCAGACCCCGGTGTCTGCCGAACCTGGGACCACTGCAGGCGCAGTTAGGTCCAAAAGTTCAGTGAATGTGCCTGCCCAGCAGGCACCATCCACCACCTCACAAGAGGTGATGGATACAAGTCCCACTCCTTCGGCGCCTCAGACGCCGAAGGATAGGCGCAACTCCTTGGAGCGCGCCAAAAAAGAAAAACCTCGAATCACAGGGCCCTCAAAAGGCCCTGTAAACTAACGCAACACCTCTGTACACACAGCACCACACTACATTAAAATGACACAACTTCTACAGTGGAACGTCAGAGGACTGTTGAGAAACCTCGACGATATCCATGAAATTTTACACAAACATACACCTAAGGTGCTGTGCGTACAAGAGACACACCTGAAACCTAAACACACCAACTTTTTACGTTATTACGTTATCTTTCCAAAAGACCGGAATGATGCCATTGTGCCATCCGGTGGTGTTGCCATTATAGTCAATCAAGGAATTGCATGCACACACCTACCACTACAAACATTCCTTGAGGCGGTGGCTGTTCGAGCAGTTCTTTTGAATAAGCTCGTCACCATCTGCTCTCTCTACATACCTCCACAACACCGTCTTGAAAAGCATGAATTGGAGTCCCTCATAGAGGAACTTCCAGAACCTTATATCCTTCTTGGAGATTTCAATGCACATAGCAATCTATGGGGTGACTCTCGCTGCGATGCTCGAGGTCGCCTGATTGAACAGCTCCTTTTTTCTTCCGGTGCGTGCTTGCTGAATCGGAAAGAGCCAACATATTACAACATCGCTAACAATACGTACTCAGCAATAGACCTCAGCATAATATCCCCATCACTCCTGCCTCTACTTAAATGGGAAGTCATTAATGATCCATATGGTAGTGACCATTTTCCTATCGTTATCAGCACATCAATAACAAATACATGTCCTGCACAAGTTCCCAAATGGCTCACCGACAAAGCTGATTGGGAAAAGTTTCAAAAAATGACTTTATTATCTTGGACTGACATGGCGGCATTGAGCATAGAGGATGCTGTATGCTACTTTACAGCTTTCCTGGTTGATGCAGCAACAAAATGTATTCCCCAAACATGTGTACCGCCAAGCAAACGACGAGTACTGTGGTGGAATAATGAGTGCCGTGATGCTCGAAAAAAACAAAATAAGGCATGGAGGTTGCTTAGAGACTCGCCCACAGCCGAGAATCTTGTAAACTTTAAGAACGTCAGGTCGCAAGCAAGAAGGACGCGCCGACAGGCGAGAAGAGAAAGTTGGCACAAATTTGTATCGGGCATTAACTCATACACAGATGAGTCGAGAGTCTGGAGCCTGGTTGGTAAGGTGGCAGGACGAGGAGCACATTCGCTTCCTCTAGTGAACACACAAGGGGAGAGTTTGGAAGACCAGGCAAACACTCTCGGAGCGCACTTTGAACAGGTCTCCAGCTCAACACACTATAGTGAAGTGTTCCGACGATACAAAACCGCAATAGAAAAACAGAGATTAGAGCGCAAGCCCAAAACACATGAGGCATACAACGAACCTTTCTGTTTGGCTGAACTGCAGGCCTCACTTGCCTGCTGCAATAAATCTGCCCCAGGCCCGGACCGTGTGGCATATGAAATGTTAAAACTCCTGCCCACTGAAACCCAGAAAGCTCTCCTCTCTCTGTATAATGCGATATGGTCTTCTGGCGAGCTACCATCAGCCTGGAAGGAAGCTATCATTATCCTAATCCTAAAACAAGGCAAGGACCCGGCCTCAGTTTCCAGCTACAGGCCAATAGCATTAACCAGCTGTATTTGCAAAGTCTTTGAAAAAATGATTAACAGGTGCCTGATTCACTTCCTTGAAATTAGTGGCCTACTTGACCCATACCAGTGCGGGTTTCGAGAGGCTCGGTCCACCACTGACCACCTTGTCCGTATCGAAGCACAAATTCGCGACGCTTTTGTTCATAAGCAATTTTTTCTTTCTGTGTTCCTCGATATGGAAAAGGCATATGACACTGCATGGCGCTTTGGCATATTGCGAGTCCTGTCACATTTGGGTGTGCAGGGTAGAATGCTGACAGTTATCGAAAGCTACCTGTCCAACCGTACATTCCGTGTCCAAGTTGGCACTGTCTTATCTCGAGTATTTGTCCAAGAAACAGGAGTGCCACAAGGAGGTGTATTGAGCTGCACACTTTTCATAGTTAAAATGAATTCCTTGC